GAGGAGGGGCCTCCCGGAGACCTGCAAACCCCACCTTACCTGATGTTGCCAGCTAGTAAATGGAAACAGTATAATGATGTATTGGCAATAACCAACAAGCTGTTGCTAAGACAGAAATATTTTTGAAAAGATTGAACTTTGAGGCACACTATTTGTGAAATTAAGGATTTCATAAGTTGTGTTTCTTTCTTTTTTTAAACTTTCTTATGTGTCTCTATTGTGTGTCTGTTTAGTGGGGGGGGTCCTGCTTTTTTGTCCTTTGCCAATCACCTTCCTGAGAAAGACTTTAATATAAAAAAAGATCATGTGTAGAAAAATAAAATGAGGCGAGTGCTGCACCAGGTCAAAGAGTAGAACAATAATGTGAGGAAATCAGATGCACCTCACGGGTAAACGACAGAGGTCACATGGAAGTAAGAGAAAAGACTGCACATAGGTTCACGGTGAAGAAACTGAAAATCGGAGGCACTCTGATGCTGTTTAAAAATCCTTTATTTAACAGGGATGTGTCTACGCGTTCCCACTCAGCTGAGTCTTCTGATAATGACAATGATAATATGTATTTGGAAATTCCACATAATGCCAAATAACACTTTAAGATGATGCTGTAGCTACACAAACGTTTTACATTTAGAACAGTAGCAATATGCACAAGTTAATATTGATAGAGAAACGTTTATTTTGTTGTTTATAAAGCAAATAGAGACATTTTCTGTTGCCAAGTTGCTCATCAATCATTCAAGAAGTAAAAGGTTACTTTCAAACCAGGTGTGTGTTAGAAAACCTCTCTGTGCTGCTCTCTGATCGGACCATTACTTTAAGAATGATAGTGCCTCTCTCCTCCTCTCTTAATGTCAACACATTTCCCCTCTTTCATCATGTAAGTAAATTGACGTACATTGGGGGTGATACATGGGTGATTCATTGTCTGTCTCAGCTCCACATGGGGAACGAAGTGAAACAAACACCACTGACTGTTTTTTCTCTCCTTCATGATCTGCTGATCTCGAGATGAGGAATGTGTGTTTGCGTACGTGCAGATAGCTCAAGGCTGTTTACACTTCGACTGACTGATGACTCAAGTCTTCTCTATTGACCCTCTGTCTAAACTGGCCCCATTATTCCCTGATAAGACAAATTACTCTGAATAAACAAGACTTAAACAAGACATATTAGTCACTGTGTTAAGAATGCCTCACACTAAAACTCCTACTACATTAAAACCTCTACTGTACGTTAAGCCTGTAAAGCTGCTTACACACAAAACTCTGTGAACATCCTGGCACAAAGATATTTTGTATTTAAGAAGAGTCAGGGATAGCCAAGTTATCAGAGCTATCAAGTCCTGATGCTGCTCCTTTTTTTCTTCTTTTTTTTTCAAAATTAGATTAAATTTTTTGTGCTTCCTGACCAGAGTTGTTTTATTCATTACATTGCTGAAAGGAAAGCAAGCATCACGTGTAGAGCAGAAGAATCTGGTAGTTTTCTGATATTCAAACAAAACAAATTCTCTAAAAGGCGGCTGTGGCTCAGTTGGTAGAGTCGTCGCCTCCAACCAGAAGGTCGAGGGTTCTATCCCCAGCTGGGCAACATGTCCGATGTGTCCTTGGGCAAGACACTCAACCCCGCATTGCTCCCTCTGCTTCGGTGGCGGTGTATGAATGGATTAGTGTTGTACTTACTCTCTGATGTACATCGCTTTGGATAATGAAGATTGAGCCACTTTTGGAGCATTTTTTAGTCTGTAGGGTTTCTGCATTGTTATCATTTTACGTAAAGAACCTGAAATGTAATGCTTTGTTATGAATGTTATGAACTGAAGTACCCAGCATTGTATGTGAGATCTGTGAGTAAGAACTGTTTAAAGTTACAACAAGCTACTTTCAGATCTCACCTATTTTCTCAAAGTTATTATATTTATGAAGTCTGCATACAATGACTACTTTTAGAAAGGAATATTTTATGATGACTCTTTTTTGCTTTTATTTGTAACACAGCAAAAGGTTTAGATGTGTCTTTACTTGCTTGCTATGGCCTATCAGTTGATGTTGTAATAGGGAGGAAGTCCAGTTCTGCACACTTATATTCATCCACACAGAGGGGGGAACCGATTTTTGGGGGGGTTGGTTGAGAACACAGAGAGTGGCAGTGTGAGGTGGATGTGAGCTGAAGGTTTCTCAGGTGGGAATGGAGATTGGGGGTGGGGTAGGATGGGATTGGGGGGGACAGAGGGGGTGAATGGGGTTGAGTCCAGCCCTGGTTTTGGTGCAGATGATGACTCCCACAGAGGGCCGGTTTGTGGCTCTATAGGGGAGAGAGTTGGAGGGAAATGGAGGAGAGGGGGGAGGCAGACAGGGTCTGTCTGCACACTGAGGTCTGTTGTCCTCTCTGCAGCCTCCAGCATATGGCCAAAGCATTAGGACTCAACGAGCGAGAAAAAACTTCCATTGAAACGAGAGGCTGGAAAAGTACCTCACACTCTGTCTCGGTGCAGGTTTTTCAGTTTGAATGTGCGTCATGCCACCTTTGACTGGTGATATTGTGAAATGTGTCGGTCCATTTAGCCCTGTATTTATTATCAACTAAAAAGCGATGATGTACTTCTGCTGTGTGCGTGTTAGTGGATAACTTTGTTAAAGTAAAACTTTAACTCAAACTTCTACAATTCATTTAGCAGACACTTTAATCCAAAGCGACGTAAATCAGAGAGTAAGAAGAACACAAGCAAGGATCTAGAAGAGAGGAAGCAATGTCTGTAAGTGCAAACGATCAGCTTTAAGTCCGATCGGACACAGAGGCAAAGCACAACATCGACAACTGATCTTGAGAGTTCTAACCAGCATCAAAACCAAATATCCTAAATATCCTAATCGTCATCATCAATATCATTAAGTGCATAAACTTGATTGTGACTTAAGTTATTTAGAAGACTGGTAGCCTACTTTCCAGCTTTTGTCATTTTGATGAATAACAGCTGAAATGTGCAGTTCCTCCTCAATGGTCTTGCTCTAGACAAGTGGTTTGAAGCCAGACACCAAAATCCCAAATCTTTTGTTCTGCATCCGAGGGTTTTTACAGCCATCAGATGCTGGACTGTGTAATTAATCAAACAACAGCTTCAATCTGACCTGAATCGCAGTCATGGAGGCGGTGTGGACCAGCCAAGCCTTTGATGTTTCCTGAAATGCAGAATGTATCTTTAAGCACTCATTGGATGAAACTGGGGCAGGATGTGGTCGCACCTCCTTGGCATGGTCTGCTGCTCCTTTGGCTCAAGACGGCCGCACGTTGGTGTATACCCAGTTTCAACAGCTCAACGCCTTGTGCATGAGCTGCTTTGATGCTTTACTTTCTGTTCTGTGTCACTGACTTTTACATGACTTGGATGCCAGTGGTTCCTGTGAATAGTTTGGACCAGGAAGCTTGGCTTCCAGCTGAATATTGCCGCCAAGGGTTGTTGAATCCTCCAACCTGGAGCTGAAGTAAAGGAAAATTTATCCGAGCTGAGGAATAAGGCTCGTGCTAGCAGTTGAGCTCGTGTAACCTGAGGAGTCAGTGGCCTGATTTCTGAAAAGCAGAGTTAAGCTTTAAGGATTGAAACTTGACTCTCTGTTAGATCTAGAGGAGTTGTTATCGTCATGTTCCTTCGATGTTTAAATGTTTCCTCGACTGCATATATACCATCTGAGAGTTCATTGAAGTTCTTTGTCAAACAGCGGTGGTTCATAGTCTGTACGCCATCACTGCGCTTTGAAGTGCTTTGATCCTCTATATTGACGTAAATTGGGGAGCAGCACGCTGGCTGTCCTGTTGTGCTAAGCATATGGGGTAAATTTCTTCCATGTGTGAAGCCCTATGAAGTAGAGATCAGTCTTTTCCAGAGAAAAAGGAAGGTGGGGAGCTCCAGATGCGTTCAGCGTTCCCTCCCTCTAGGCAGAAATGTGTTGAATCAACCTTCTCCCTGCTACATCAGAAAGAAGCTTTTAATTTGTTTTCTCATGTTTTATAGTTTCAGTGGATTTCTCATAAACCAAACTTTTTTTTAACTTCTAAATCGCGTGTGTCTACCACCTGGCAGTAATAACTGCTAATGACTAGCTAGTTCATCAAACGACAGCTATGTTTTCACTCCAGCATTTAGTAATAATTCCGCTCCGTGTTTTCTGTGAGTTCAGGGCCAAAGAGGAAGCGCTTTGGTTTCTTTGGCACACAGAGAGACCCTGGCCTCCCTCTCTCCCCCCCTCAATTCAGGGAGTCAAAGTTTGCCTCTCGTGTTGCTTGTGCAAACACAGAGTTTGGTGTTTCATATAATTTTTTTCCTCCCTCGGAGAGGTTCAGAGAGGAGAGAGCCAGTTTGTGAATCATGCTGCTGTGGTGTAAGCTGCTGCTGCTCAGCAGAGTGAAGCCTTGAAGTGGTCTGCACATTTCAGAAAGGAAGTGGAGGGAGTTGTAGCGGTAATCATTGCAGCAGTGACAGAGTGCGTCAAATAAGTTCATGTCGATTTTTCTCTTTCACATTTCTGTGAAATGTTGGGGTGGGGGGGGGGGGGGGGGGGGGTCACAGACACATCAACAGCAGGAGGCAGCAGACCGCCTGGTTTGCACACCACCCGTTCAGTAAAGAGGTTCTGAGAGGGGAGGGGGAAATAGACAGAGTGGGAGGGGGTTTGAAAAGTGCACGAGAGCGACAGGGAAGAGGGGGTCTGGAGAGAAAGAGACTACAGAGCAAGACTCAGAACTCAAACTGAGGCTAGACTTTGTGTTTACCGAGAGTTCGTCTTCCCTGAACTTTTCTGAGGTGTTGGAGCATAACGTGATGAAGGAGCTCTGTGTACACACTTCCCCCTCTTCCTCCACGTCTCCTGGATGTTCTGCGGGTCAGTCCTCCGTGAGATCAAGCCACTCCGGGACCCTCGGACCTCCACACATAGTGTCGGGGGGCTCGTCTATGGACATGGACCCTCTGGGGCCTGATTACGTGTCCATGTGTCTGTTGGCAGATGAGTCCTACCAGAAGCTGGCGATGGAGACCATGGAGGAGCTGGACTGGTGTCTGGACCAGTTGGAGACTATCCAGACCTACCGCTCAGTCAGTGACATGGCCTCTAACAAGGTAGGATAATGAACTGCCTATAAATGACTATGGAAACAGTGCAATTGTAAAGTTTTGACAAGTTTAACATGTATGCTATTTGTTGAAAAGTAACTAAAGCCTGAATTTTGGGAGGTAACTTGGGCAATTAACACCTTGCCATATCTGAAGGTTTCTCGTGTATTAAAATGAGATCATAATAGTTGGTTTGAACACCAATTCTCTGTGCGTGTGTAAAAGTGCATGCTGAAATCTTTAAAAATGTTTCTATTTTAAAGTCTTAGAGGGCTTTAATCTTAATCAACTCACATTAAAAACCTTTTTTATCTCCAAATCACAAGTTTGAGAGAGTTGTCTTGTAGACACTTAAAATGCTTCTTATGATGAATACTTAAGGCCTTCTCTTATAGCACAGCCATTGAATTAATCTTAATTGTGCTTTGTTTTCTTTATAAACTGTAATTATGATCAGCATAAGACCTCCTAGGTACACAGCACACTGTCATGTCAAGATCATTTCCCAGTTTGAAGCCCCTATCAGCTTCTAATCTAATAGCTGTTTGAGGATATGATATTGAGACTAAGCGTGCTTTAGTATGAGGACCTGTCGGACTTCTGCAAAGTCGTACAGTTGGCCTTTGTTGCACGGTGGTTGTAAATTTGACCAGTGCATGCAAAATCTGAATTGCCTTTTACCACATTGACGCACTTGCAAATTAACAGCTGTTCTGTGGTGGCTTCATCATTTTATAGATGTGTTGTAAAAGAAAGTTTGAGCAACATTTAGATTGCGTGCATGAAAACAGAGTTCCAGGTAACTTTGAATACATGAATACAGGATGTGCTCTCCATGGAAATCATGTATTTATGGTAATTTAAGTAAAACCACAGTATTTTATGCAACACTGCTGAGCTGCAGATGAACATGCAATATGATTTGATCCTGTACACAGAGGCGTTTATCATTGATTTGAGTGTGCAGTGAATATTGGCTCTGGTGTAATGTTGCCCTCAGATAAACACTGGTCTGCTGTCTGGAGTGACGTCATCGCTAAAGGTCAAACTTAACTGACATACATCAGTCTGCCAGACTTTAGTTTTAAGATTAACAAAAAGTAAAGACTCATTAGAGGAAAGTGCTTTTTAGCCTTAAATGTATATTTCACTGTTTTACAACCCCACTAAAAAAATAACAGCAACAGGTACATTGTCTTGGATTATAATTACTCTTCAGTTTGCTGAGCTAGTCCATTAAACACTCACTTTATTCTGCTTTATAAATATCTGCTATCCATCTATTGAGCAGGTAAGGTCCGATTTATTTTATGCATGCTTCTAAAAAAGAAAGAGTGCTACACTAAAGCACAACAGATGTTTGCTGCAAAAGTTTGTGTCACAGTTTTCTAATTGAAAACATTTCTGCTCTGCTAACAATAGTACAAACATGTCCAATAATATTGCAGGTGTTAATAAGGACATAAAAAAAAGGAACACTGGGTACCTCTTATGATGTTGTTACTATGATTGTGGTTACAGCATGGCACCTGGAGTACTTAGTGTTGTTACTGCTGTTTTTGTTGCAGTTCTAAATCGTAATGGCAATGTTGTTTTTATTTGTTTGATTTTCTTTTGGCTGTGACTTTGTCTTGTTTTGTTTGTTCTCCATCTGCGCTGTTCAGCACTTTGGATCGACAGTGTTGTGTGTAAAGCGTTGTAAATACAGTTGAGCTGAATTTGTCATGGAAAAAAAAAAATAGCAACACAAATATTAGACTTAATTACTGCTGAAATGCTTTGAATGCACAGCCCGACTGTCTGAATTTAAATCAAAGGAAGTGTAATGACTTTTACTAGCTTGTATTGAGTTTCTAACAAGATTGTCTAACAAAAGTAATTGGACAGTGGAGCTGACTTCTAATGTTACAATTAGCTTCTTCATAAGCGTGAGTGCAGTATTATCTATAACACATCAGGTCTTTACAAAGACGAGTACTTCATGAAGAGACTGAAACGTTTTCTTTAAGCAGACTAATTAGTCTGCAGCCATGCTAACAGCGCTATGAGGCTGCACTCAGGAAGTCAGTTGAACTAAATGCTTTCTAAGATTAAAACAATCATAGTGATAACATGCTTATGTTTTGCATAATATTTGTAAAAGAAAACATCATCTTTCTGGTTTGGTTGAAGTGAATAAACTGACTTACTTTAAGACTACATAAAGAAACTGTTTAGAACTACAGTCATTTTCCCCTTTGTTTTGGTGAATCCATTTTTAATTTGTGCACAGCTCAGTAACTATACAGTGCACACAGTTACTTAACCCTGTGCAGACAGTGGAGACATTATGGCGGCGGCAGATTATAAACACCCAGGGCGGCGTTGTCCGTTTCCGTGTGTATTCTACTCTGTGGTCTGGGGGAGGATTTAATGGGGAGGAGTGTGTTCAGACCGTTGCGGGTGACTGTGACCATGACACAGGTTTCCTGTCTCTTTATTTCCCGTGCCCCCCTCTGCCCCCTCTCCTCTGCTCCCTGGTTACCAGACGACAATAGCAGAGCTTCGACCATGCAGCCAGGTTGAGTTTTTTTTACGAGAGAAACACGTCACTGGGACTGTCAGGACAATGGGCACAAGGCTCTGCAGACGCATACCAGCAAAGCCGTTCACTCAGGCAGGCCAGGCACATTGTTCCCGTGAGTCAGAGTCCTGTCTCTATGACCCAACTCCAGCACTGAGCATTGTTGACCAATGCTGTTTTTGAAAGAGCGGAGGTCAAGAGTTTGTGATGTTCCGTTTGAGATTCCTCAGTGTGCTGGATTGTTGTGCAATATTAAAGCCATCGCACTATTCACCTTATATTGCAAGATAGTTGTCATATATTGTTACATTTCTGCACCATAGTTTCATGGCTGTGTTGAATATTTAATTAATCCATGATATTAGATTGTGATTGGCATTCAGACAGTTCTGCTATTTATCTTGCCGTAAAGAACAGCCCATTGCTGTGGATGAGGCTCTAATCGAAGACTCTGGAGGACTTGAATCCTACCATAGAGTATAAGGGAGTAACTTTGTGTCAAATTATTGATTTCTATCATAAGTAGATATGCAATAAGCCCAATAATGTTCAGGGATTGGGTTGTTGCTACAGAATAATAGTGAATTATGGTGCGTTAATTTAATTTTGCTCTCTCAGCCCCTTCGCTGCACATTATCCTCTGCAGCTTCTGCTCCTTTTCTTCATTTATATGACGTGATCTCTGACAAAGGCAGAGACAGAGAGGAACCAGAGAGGATGCAATTGAATCCACCGTCAAACCAACAGTGTCTCTACTTACAGTGCTCAAGGGCGCAGGTGTATCCGGGTCTAACAGGACCACACACCCTGCTGACCGCCTGCCTGGTCGCTGTGACCTCAGAGCTGGGGGAGCTGCTTCCCTACCCCCTCACTATCATTACGCTCGCCACACTTCCATGCTGGAGCGAGTGGCGGCCTTGGACAAACTCTGCCATCTGAATCCAGTTAGAGGAGGGCAGAACTCTGTGGGTTAGCGTGCGAGCGAAATAAAGCGAGCCCCCGAGCGGGGTAGGAAACTTTAACTCACGTGTGGTCACTCTAACTTTGAAGCGCCGCTGTCTTCAGTGGGGAAAAAATGACAAAATTATTGAAACAGATGTAGCGGTGGGATTGTAGCTGCAGCAGGAGTAGTGGACATAAAATTATAGTGTTTTGATTTGGTTTGCCTGAAGCTGCAGTAGTGATTATGGTGTCTAATTGTAATTAAAAAGTTAAACCTCTATGATCTGATGCTGCATGGAAAATAAACCGAATGAGGAAGGCGGATAGGACCCTTTTTTTACCCCGTTTAGTTCCCTGGCTTCTAGGAAATGTCTTTCTAGTGTTTCTACACTTTGAAACTCGCTAATGCAGTGTGTTTTCACAATAAACAGCCTCACACAGGGCAGAGGAGGCTCTGGATCACTGCCTGCTTTTGTAGATTGCACAGACAAGTATTGTAATAAGTTATCAAGCTGTGCAATCCCATCTTTATCTCTTCTCTTTTTGGGTCAAGGTCAAAGTACGCTACAAGAACTAAGTTAACTTTAATACATCCATGTAATCTGATATTTTCCTCCACATTACGTCAGCATGGCGTTCTGTTTTACTTGCTGTCTGGGACTTTTCAGTGACGAGTTAAAGGTATGTTAGTTGTTTTGTTGCCTGAGGCCGTGTTAGGAGGAAGGACATCTACCAGTAAGTGGCTTGAGTCGAATTTCTTTGCCAAGTAAAAAAAGGGGAAGTAGGCGGGAACGCGTGCTCGGGCCTGTGCTGGAGGGAGGAGCCATCAATCTCATGTTAGGCTGAAGAGGCCGGTCAGTCAAGTCGAGCTTTATCGCCATACGTTTCCTGCCTGTGTGCACTTCACAAAAGACCGTACAGAGAGAGGAAGCAGGACTCTGACTCACTGAAGAGGAGTTACTGCGCAAAGGAACTTTACGGGATTTCATTCTACTTGTGTTTCGTTTATTTATTTCTAAGTGACAATGGGACTATGTTGTTCTGAAAAGCAGGAGAAGAACTTTGAGATGCTCACAGGTTGGAAAAAGGTGAGAAATGTTCTGAGCTGGTTACATTAAGTTGCTTAAGAGTGATATGCTGTATGAAGACTCATCTACTCAAGAATAAAAAGTTTATTAGTTTGCGCTAAAGTAAATCATATCCTCACAAAAAAAAAGTTCAACTTTCTTTTTACTCCTTTTTTGATTTTCCTGCCTTTTATGTGGTTCAGAGTTTCAGGACAGAAAGATAAAAGTGTATGTGTTTTTGGAATAGTAACATTGGAACACTTGTACTCATTTAAACAAGTTCATGTGTAAATAGTGTTTAGGCTTGCACCTATGCATGTCATTTACATAGAAACAGTGACTCCAGTGTGCACAGTTTTTGAATATTCAAATTATCAGCTTATCATCTTCTTAGAATCAACCACAAGCTGAGTTTATGTGACTTGTGGAGGTTGCTAAAGAGGTGAGGGGGGGGGGGGGGTTGTTCTGAGTGAGCACCAACGTAAAAGGATGTATGAGTTACTGCCATGCATTGAGTAATCTATTCTCTTGAACACTCAGACATGTCGTCACGCTTTGAACGTACGCTGTGTCTCTGAGCTGAACTATATGACCCTGAGAAACTGACATGTGGCTTTGTGTCTGATTCATATCCTCCAGGTCACAATAATCTGCACTGTTCTGCTGCTTTAAAGAATCAATTACAAGTCGCCCTTTGAATGGAATAATGCTGCCTGATTCCAATTCACATTTTTGTCCTCACGAGCTCTCTTTGATTTTTATGGACAGCCTCTGGCAGGCTGGGTGTCTGAGTGAGGCCAGCGCTTTGAAAGAGGTTTTCAAGTTTCACAGTCAAGTGGATGTTAGCCGTCTGCTTGTCAGCTATTAGCTGCTGCGACCAAAGAGTGGCTGGTTCTGTATGAGTATTTTAAAAAAGCCCTTGAATAAAGGCTTATGAGGCTGAAATTAGGATCACATTTCAGGATAAAAGAATTGATTGCACCATTATTGTGAATTGTGTCTTTACAGTGTTTAGCCCAGTTATGTCAATCCAGAGCACACGCCATGCATTGAGTGTGTGTGTGTGTGTGTGTGTGTGTGTATGTGTGTGCGATGTGATGCAATGTGTTCAGAGCAGGGACCACCGTGAGAACGATGGAGGGGGCCACGTGACTCTGTTGCCATGGCGTTCAGGTTGTCGTGCAATTGGTGGTACACTAGTGGGTGGCAGACTGAAAACTCTCTCATCCCTTGTCTTCATTTGTGAAGCAAATGTCTTGTTTTTTTTTATACACAGTGCTGCCGCAGAGAGACAGAAAACAAGCTGCTTATTGGAATTATTGTTGTTGACAAGCTGAAATTCAGAACGAAAACAGAAATTTAAAATGTGCTGCAGTGCTCATGGACCAAAATGTGCACAGCAGCTTGTGGTTAAAAACAATCTGGGAAATGAATACCCTGGGTCTCCTCAGCCATGTGATAAACGCTGTGGTGCTTTGAAGCCTCACATTGCGCAGTATGCGTTGACTCTGTTCTGCATTACTGAGCAGGGGGAGTGCATGGGGAAGGGGGGGGGGGGGGGGGGGGGGTTTGCAGAGAGCCCAAGCGAGTGAGTGAGAGAGAGAGATAAGGGGGGATTCTCCAAACTCCCATTTTCTGCAGTGCTGTGCTTGGCTCAGTGTTTAGCGAGTGGAGGGAGGCAAAGAGAGAGAGAGAGACTCCATCAGCCTCTCTGCCACAGGGGACTCTACAGCTAGAGCGCACCCCCTTCCTCCGTGTCCTCTCCGTCTTTCTGCATCCCTCCTTTCCTTTCTCCCTCTCGCTCTTAAAATCGTCCTCCTTGCTTTGCACAATCTGGGCTTGGGAAGGTTGGATTTCCCCCAGTTGTGTCACTAGATAACATTTCGGATTGTGGTTTAGAGAGACAGACAGAGACGGCGTGAATCGAAGAAAAGAAAAGGAAATATTGATTGCATCCAGGGGGATTCCATCACTCTCGCCAGCGGCTTTGCAATACTGGAAAACAGGAGGCGACGACATGAGGAGACATATTTGGTCGGGGATGTAGTGTGGGGGTCTGCCGCAGCCCCTTTCTGGCGGTTCAGCAGGGGCATTTTTTACCGCAGTCCAGCGCCTGAAGGCGGGGGATTTGGACGCGCTTTGAGCTGCAGGTTACAGGGCTGATTGCAGCCTTGGGGTCCACTCAGAGAGGAGCATACAGGGCTTCTGCTGGGGAGCACCAGGGGCTCAGCACAGCTCAGCACCATGCCTGAGGCCAACTACCTGTTCTCTGTGTCCTGGGGATACATCAAGGTGTGTCCCAGAGGAGAAAGGGCATGGATGGGACTGTGTGTATTTGTATGTGCATATGTCTGCATCTATATACTCTATATTGAAGAATTTTAACTGTAGCTGGTTAATCACTTTTGATTTCACTCAACGGAATTTGTTAAATTTGGTTCAAGCACTTCAGGGTTTTTGATTAGTCTGGACTGTCTCTGTTATCCTGCTCTCACTCAGCTCTGAGAAAGAAAACTGGCACATTTTGTTTCCCTGAAAAGAAAGCAACACAAGATAATTTTATATATTAATTGATGTTTGTTGAAATATGAGAGAGTCAAGGCCCTTGTGGCTAATCCAAACCAGGACCAAGAAGAGGTAAACACAACCTTATATGGTGCATTTAAAAAAAAACAGGCTGTATTCTCATGGGTCATATTTCAGTGGGAAATAACAGGAAATGCTTATTTTCTCTGCTCTGAAACAGCACTTTAATGATGCCATGAATGTTTATTCTCTTCTCTTTTATAAATCATTTATCTTCATGTACTTTTTATCTTTTTGCCTCCAGTTCAAGAGGATGCTGAACCGGGAACTGAGCCACCTGTCTGAGATGAGTCGCTCGGGCAACCAAGTGTCAGAATACATCTCCAACACCTTCCTCGGTGAGCACTGCAGCAAACACAAAACAAAACAAAAAAATCACACAAGTAGGCACCCACAGAAGTATGATCTGTGCCATTACAAAATGTGCTGCACACAAAACGGCAGTGGATGGCTATATCCATCAGGAATCAGACAGTTTGTATGTGGCAGAGGTTGTGAGGTCACCCAAAGTATGTGCTAAGTACCTGGTGTCCTCCAGCACTCTCAAACCTGCCTGAACTGGTCTGAAGGGAAGATACAGAGAGTCCCCTCTCTCCAGCTGCAGGGAGATATGGAGAGAGGACACGGATGGGGGAGGGGGGGGACTGTATACAGAGGAAAGACTCCCCTCCGGAAAAATCAGAGGCAAAGAGCAGGAAAGAGGGAGAGTGTTTGTGTGCATACAGTGCCATCAGGTCCTCATAGAAGCTGAGTTATGTATCAGGAGGACAGCAGCAGTGTTTCCCTGTCTCTAAAAGCCCTGCGGTGTTTTTCGTGACTCACTGCAAGCCAGCTGGTCTGCCCCTCAGGTGTTCCACCTTCCTATCAAACTTAACGCCATCATCCACCCAGACAGGCAGCTTAATAGGGTCGGTGCACACTGAAGCCCTGCTCCAGCTAGGAAGCACACCTCCATCTTTTCTAAACAACCCACATGGGTAAGAGGGGATGGCTGCACCATGAAGGAAAAGCAATAAAACTGGTCCAGTGAAAGAGATTTTGGCTTTGATAGAAGAGACGAGCATATGAAAACAGAGAGGAACTGTTTTTTTTTTCTTCTTTGAAGCTTTGTGCTTTTGTTGTCATCTGCACTGCAGCTGACACCTGTCAGGTGTAGGGAGATCACTTTCTTCCTGTGCTTTGTGGAGGACGCAGCAGCAGTGATACATTTCTTTCTCTCACTGCGGTGTGTGGTTGCACACCAGGGCACACTCTCATCTGCTTTGAGCAATGCATGCACAAAACAAACCTGCATACTAACTTGTTGTGGCCACAGTTCTATGGATTGTAATTGCAACGTTTGCTCAGTTTCTTAGAATGCGCAGATCAATGAAGCTTCGTCTGCTTTCATGCAGTGCCCTTCATAAGAATCCCACATGTTTGGTTCTTTTCCACTTTGTACAGTATTAAACCAATGACTGCTTAAAGATAACTTTCAGAATCAGCTTTATTTGCACAGATATGCTCACACATTCAAAGAATTTGACTTTGGTAGACTGTGCTCTCAATGTACAAATGAATAAAATTAAATATTAAAAATAAAAAAAACTAGTATATACAAAACTAAATGAGACAGTTGTGCAGTATTTTCTGCAAAGTAAACAGTATCTGAAGTACTGCATGCTAATTAAAAAAGTGTCAGTGCAGCTATAACGTGTTGTCATGAAGGTGTTAGAGGTGAACTGTCTCCCCGTGTTAACTTTGTTCACTCTGCAAGTGCGTGAGACAATCCAACAACAACAAGTCCAGTCCGCTTTTACTCTGGAGCGACCAACAACCATGTTTTTTTTTTATTTATTTTTTTAACTTTTGTTTGTGTCTTTTCTATTTCTTTCATTCTTCCAGATAAGCAGAATGAGTTGGAGCTTCCGTGTCCGGTCCCTAAATCGAGGGAGAGGAAGCGGAGGCAGGGTCAGCAGCAGCAACACCAACAGCAACAGCAGCAGGGTGGGATGATGACCCAGATCAGCGGTGTGAGGAAGGTTAGCAACACACCCAGCATCTCAGGAGGAACAGGCAACCGCTTCGGGGTCAAGACAGACCAGGAGGAGCTGCTATCGAAGGTAAAACATAGACCGATGACACAGCAGAAATACAAGAAAAGAAAATGATTAGCTGAGACAGATATGTAATCTTATCGTCTCACTTACAGGACCTGGAGGACATCAACAAATGGGGACTCAATATCTTCAAAGTGGCCGAGCACTCTCATAACCGTCCGCTCACCTCTATCATGTACACCATATTTCAGGTCAGTGCCTTCAACCTCCTCGTCTCTGCATGAGTCAGAGAAAACTTGTAATGAAGTGCAAACGTTTTTATACATACACACCGACGGCCACAGTAAACACAAGGCTCAGCACACATCAGCGTGTAAAGTATATTCAGCTGTCAGTGTTGTTACAGAAACATCTGCTTAAGGGACATTAGCGGCTAAGATTGATTTCTAGTTGTGAATCATCCTCATTTTCAGCCTTTTCTCTTGTAAATAAGTCACAATTTGCCAAGATTAGATTTAAGGTCAGATCACTTGTCCATTGAAGATTACATTCACTGAAATCAGCTCTACAGTACAAAAATAAAAAGTAGCTGCACCATCTTCATCCCTTCTCACGGTTGTTGTTTTCTAATTTTCATACTCTTGTGTCGAACGCAGGAGCGAGACCTGATGAGGACATTCAAGATTCCAACAGACACCTTTGTGACGTTCATGCTGACCTTGGAGGGCCACTATCACTCAGACGTGGCGTACCACAACAGCCTCCATGCAGCTGATGTTGCACAGTCCACACACATCCTCCTGTCCACACCTGCACTGGATGTAAGCCGAGTTTTTTTACGCTTTCATAGAACCAAAAAAAAAAAAGTTTGTTTGTTTTAGTAATTAAACGTTTCATTAAATAACGTTGTCGATACTCAAAGCATCACGGCCTGCACCTTTTCTCAGCTTCTCCATTATGATTTAATTAGCTGACTGGCATTAGCGTCACCAGCACTGGCATGGCCCTAAAACTGCATGCCGCAGAGGATGACACATGCGAGAATCGGCCTCAAACAATTGTCTAACACCTTGTTCAGCCAGTTTATTTCCTCTGAAGCTCATCTGTTTATTTTACTTCTCTTTCAACGCAGGCGGTCTTTACTGATCTGGAGATCTTGGCTGCCATTTTTGCTGCAGCCATTCACGATGTGGACCACCCAGGAGTGTCCAACCAGTTCCTCATCAACACCAGTAAGTCCCCTTTACTGGATTGCCACCACTCAATTTATTAAGTCTGTAATTACAAAAAAAAGGAAGAAACATTTGCCTCCAAGGATAACACTGTTTTTCTTCAGGATGTAATCAAGTTTAAAAAAAGCTAAAGCTCAGTTTGTCCTCCCTCCTTTCTCTGCTTGTAGACTCCGAGCTGGCTCTGATGTACAACGATGAGTCAGTGCTGGAGAACCACCACCTGGCTGTGGGCTTCAAATTGCTGCAGGAAGACAACTGCGACATCTTCCAAAACCTCAGCAAGAAGCAGAGGCAGACGTTGCGCAGGATGGTCATAGACATGGTGAGCAAACGTCTCCATTTCTGCAGACCTGTTTTTGCACCTCTGTTTTTTCACAGTGGTGTGCAGCGCTTACATCATTCTTTGTGCCTTTTTCTCGTCCAGGTTTTGGCAACAGACATGTCCAAACACATGAGTCTGCTGGCCGATCTGAAGACGATGGTGGAAACCAAGAAAGTGACGAGCTCTGGAGTCCTGCTGCTGGACAACTACACAGACAGGATGCAGGTAAGATGCACACACTTACTCAAACACACACACACACACACACACACACACAAAAACCAGACACTGACATCAGACAGTCTGTTACACTGAAAAGATGCAAGATGTTTCATTATTCTTTTTTTGCTGCAGGTTCTGCGTAACATGGTTCACTGTGCTGACCTGAGCAACCCGACCAAGCCTTTGGATCTTTACCGTCAGTGGACAGACAGGATCATGGACGAGTTCTTCCACCAGGGAGACAGAGAGAGGGAGAGGGGGATGGAGATCAGCCCCATGTGCGACAAACATACAGCCTCAGTGGAGAGAACACAGGTAAAGGAAAAACACATGTCAAGCTCCAGAAGTAGTTGAAGACCTTATGGAATGAAAATAGTAATCACATATACATTGAGCAATTAAAATATTGCTGATAACTTGTCAGTTTTGTTTTCATTTTAACTGACTTCCTCCTTTATTTCTTCCAGGTTGGCTTCATTGATTATATCGTCCACCCTTTGTGGGAAACCTGGGCTGACCTGGTCCATCCTGACGCCCAGGACATCCTGGACATGCTGGAGGACAACAGGAACTGGTACCAGAGCATGATCCCTCAGAGCCCCTCCCCTCCCTTCTACAGCAGCGACGGCGAGGACGGCCCACACGGGGAGCTGGAGGGAGTACCTGCATCGACTAAATTTCAGTTCGAACTGACGCTGGACGATCAGGGCGAAGACGGGGAGGGCGGGATGATGGAGACTGGTGTGACACTCCAAGATCACACCTCGGATGAGGGCAAGGTAGAAATGACGAGTGGTGACGTCTCCCCAGAGGAAACATAACTGGACTGACGGTGTTTGAGTATGCAGCTAGGTTTAGCTGTTTTTGGCTGAATTATTTTAATTGCAGTGGAGAAATCCTGCAATCTGGCTCTTTGGAGCTGCCTGGTAAAGAGGGCCTTACTGAATGTGGGGCACCCCTGCAAACAAGGCCAGGAAAACCAATGGCAGTTTGTTTTTGAGCCCCCTAAAAGGGAGCTGGGGAAGAGAAGGGTCTGCTTTTTAAAGAAGGGACTACAGTCAGAATAAAAGGCTGGATCTTTGTTCTCACAAAGAAGGTAAAACTGACGATTGTGTCTGAGTACTGGGACTAGTAAAAACTTCCAAACTTGCACTTAAGGACGTTTTTTATGTTCATTCAGATTCTTTGTATTGTGTAGGGATCGGATGGGACATCCTCAAGCGTCCAACCAAAACTACTTGTCCACAAGTTCTGTGTTACTAAGTATGTTTTTTTTTTTGTTTTTTTTATCACGTTTCTCAAAAAAGTTGTGTGCCTTTTTTTAACAACCATGTCTTTTTGTAAGTGTTTTTATAATTTATTGAACACATTCATGTAGCTGTAAAAATGTGTCAAATTTTCTACTAAGCAGGCAAAATGTTCTCACACAGTCTTCCGGATGTTCCTGCAATATTTGAAGCTTCGTCTCACAGATGCGCCTGGTTGATGTATTTCTAAAATCAGTTGACTTCCCAGCACAATTTGCACTTTGTGGCAGCAGAGAGAGTGGAGACATTCAATAATTTAAAACATGCAAAACCAAAAAGAAATTTCAATTAAATTTGATTTCAAATTAATTCATTTTGATGTTTTCAAAAGAATCATTTCATAAACACTTCAATAAGTCACAGATCTGATTCTTTGAAGAGAACATGTGTAGTACTGAGTTGATAATCACCTTAAGATTAAAAGAAACCTCCAAAGAGGGAAGCTCTGTTTACTGCCACCTCTGAAAAGTTTGACCCCATGCTTGAAGAGTCAGCGGTGTAACAGACTTCCAACCTGAAGCCAAAGCAGCTCTCTTCTTGCATCATCCTGTAGCTAGATGAATAGTTAAGGCCTCTCAAAATCAAATCAACGATTAATTTGCTCATAATAAATCAACAAAAATCCCCTTACTTTGTTTTGTACCGAGCTATGACATCATGAGAAATCTGTTTCCGCTGTGTAACGCTTCATTTGCTCTCACAAACAAACCTGTCGGGGGTTGAAAGTATTCCATCTTTGTGAAGACACCGTGACTCGTTTTGATCTTTTACATGACTGTAAGACTGCGTGCACGTTTGAAAGAGACACCTGTTAGCGATAAAAATCATTGTTATCCTGTAGTTTTTATTCCAGCACTTTGAATAAGCCGACACTTCAGCAGCTGGTTGCTGATGTGTCCAACACTACCTTAAAGGTACCACATGTGAGGTGCAACCTTCAGAATAAAAGACAATATCGTGTTGTGACATGATATGGACGTATGTGTGTGTGTGTGTGTGTGTGTGTGTCAGAGTTGCACAGTCTCGATGACTCTTCAGCTGTTTGTAACAGTCTATTTATTATCTTATTCTTGTACATGATAATATTGGTATTGATGGTTAATATTCTCTGTATATTTGTTATTTATATGCACTACCACATGTCACAGTTTGACTGTACTTGTCCGGTGGTTCTGATTTCTTGTACTCAACAAGCTACTTTGCTATAAGACCATAACGTGAAGTCATGCAGTTCAGTTTTTGACGATTTGAAATGTACCGTTTGAAATGTTTGTACATTCCGAGGATCCAACAACACACCTGATGTCAGGTGCAGAAGAAGTCTGGCTTTATGTTTGGGTCTTTGGTTCCAGGCAGATTATGAAGGCTGAATCTTTGCTGCAGTCCATTGTGTACGGTGACGGGTCATTGTACCGCTAAAGGAATATTTGCTGAAATATATAAAACATGTTTCAAATATATTTTTTCAGTGTTTTCCTCACAATATATTGTCAAACAGTGTATGTTGTGTTAAAGAAATGTTTTCTATCGGATTATTAAAATGGGCATGTATTACAGAATCCTCTGGTGTTCGTTGTTTGTTTGATCACAAAAGAAATCAAAGCTTCATGAATTTAAACTTGAGGAAATTTGTGTCATTCTTATCTGTCAAGCTTTTAAAAATAAGTCTTTATTAAAAAGGGCAACTTTACAGCAGACATTTGCAGTTAAGTAGTTTTGTTTTCCTGAGCTCATTTCTCTTTTCTTAACTGTATGTGGGAGGGAATTGTAATATTACTTGCTAGGTAATATAACAATGAGCTAGATGTCACCTCAACTAATTCAGTCACTGAACTTAGACTCTCGGTGTATGGCGTTTCTGCCTCTGGGGGGATTTTATACCGTGCCACTATTGAATAAACACTTCATCTTGTTTGGTCTAATGTTCAAACAGTTGGTCAAAGATGTGCTCTCCTTTTTTTTTTTAAATCTACAGCAACTAGGTCACTTCTGGGAAGAAGAAACAACATAGCAACAGCCAAATAAAGAACAAGGTTTCAAAAAAACGGACAAATGTTAGAAAATGTGTGACATCACAGTCGCAAATTCCATTATTTACACAGTCTATGATTTAAACTGATGCAATATTGTAACTTTTTAAGTTTCAAATTCTAAGGGGAAAACCATTGAGTGTTTGTCCACCATTTCCCCGCAGTGAACACAGTGACCTGTCTTCCCTCAGATTTGGGTTCATTGCTGCTGGAGACTAAGGCGGCAGTGTAAACAGGAAGAGTAGAGATAGTGATGCTATGTGCAGAGCCCTCAGGGCATTCACTCCACCATGTGAGCACTATGACCCACGCAGATAATCATCGGAATACGTGAGGCCGAGTTTGAAGACAATGGATGCTTTTACAGATTTAAATTGATAAATAAGTAGGTATGTTTCAACAAAGAAAAACTTAAGTGAAGACACTTTGGCCGATGTAATGTTACCTTCACGGCTCCTATTGTGTCAAATCTCATCAGCCCCCTCTACGGTGTGTAAAATCTATAAATGTGAATCTGTGTGAACTTGCAATTTTATAACATCACTGTGATCAAGGGCACCATATGGGGTAGAAGATTTGGGATGATTCTTAGGGCCCCATTACTCTCAGTGGCCCCCAATAATATTAGAACATTAGTTCATTTTATTCAATATTAAATTATTTTAGTAGTTCTAGTTCCCCCATGCGTTGTCACAGGCAACAGACTTACTTCAATGTTATCAAGAATATTGCCAGGGCCCCAGTAGCCTAGTGGCTTGTGCGCGCTCCCCCATGTTCAGAGGATGTAGTCACTAAAGTGGGTGGCTCGGGTTCGAATCCAACCCGTGCCTCTTTTCACACATGTCATCCCCACTCTCTCTCCGATTTCTGACGATCCACTTTCCTGTCTCTAATTAAAGGCGTTAAAAGCCCCGACAAATGCAGAGTATGGTTTACTGTGACTTTAGTCCCTTTAAACACACGCTCCAGTCAGATGCAACATTCTTCAAGGCTTCAGTGCAATCATCTCGCTTTCAGAAGTTTTCTTATCCTGCTTCGATCTGCATCTGTTTTGAAAACTGTTCTGATGTATTGAGGCTTTTGACCAATCAGGGTTATGTTCCTAACTTTCAAAAACCAGAGCCTATTAATGTGAATCAGTAATGATCCCGTAGAGTGTGTGTACAGTGATATAGTATCGCACAAGTCTCTTTACAGTGGTTTTATACCAGCACAGCAGTCAAAATAAAGAGTAGAACTGCATATAAGTATGTGGACGTTCTCCTTTTCACATTTGGAGCTTCAAAACAACTTAGTTCTTTGAAGAAAACCTCCCACTTCAATTTCAGGCGTCATTCGAAAGAAGTTTTGGTCATGTTTTGAAAAATACTCCCTCAATCACTGCAACATGCGTTGTATTTTTTAAGGAGTGACATATATAGGTCACAACAACCCACAAAAATGCACCATAAAAGGCCTGATAGATAGCTGTCATGATTGCATAAACTATCCTTAGTTAGTGTGTATCTGCCAATAATTTTATGGCATTAACGTAGCCAACACTATGTTCCAAAGAGCTCATTACTCAGCTATGAAAACTACCTGGCATATGACAACGAAACGTTATGATCGACTGATTGAGAAGTCCTTTGTGCTCGAGACAGCTTAACTGTATTTCCCTGAAATCAACCTGTGTGTCACATAAAATTCCCTTCATGTGTTAGTGTCCGGATGTCTGAATGACATCAAGAAACCTGAAGCTGCTCTCCACTTCCATTAGATTCAGCAGAAACGAGGCAGCTGTTTATGATAAACACGGGCGCAGACAGAGACTAGTGTTTTCCATGGTGGTGGTCCGTACTGCCATGGCAATGGGCAGCAAGTTTGTTTGAAACCTTAACACAAGTCTTGAGGTCTGACGTCAGGAGACTGGCCCTGATGTCTGTGAGCCACCCACTTAAGGCTGGGCCAGGGACTTTCACTGCCAGGAGATCTAGCTGACAGCCAATCCACCTTGTTTCTCCACTCCTGCAGCCAGGCCCTGAAAGCATCCACAGCCCCGGGGCCGAGGCAAGAGAGGAAGAGAACCACTTCCAGCAAAACAAACCTGCTCTCTCCATATTCACTTTATAAAAACAAATGTCTTCCTGCCGTTGCTCCTGGCCAGCTGCTGTTTGTTTTTAGTTGGGTTGACAGTGGGGACTGTAGTCAGTGGCATTCCAGGATAATTCAATAACACGGGTCTGTGTGTAAAATGGCAAAGATCAGCTCTGAGTGGCTGAGACAGATGGATGAGGAAGTTCCCTGCAAAAGTCCTGAAGAAAATGATGAATCTGGAAAAAGATGAGATGCGACAGTCCTCTTCCTCTCAGGCCTCTTGTATGTGTGTGTTTGTGTGTTGAGCTTAAATCGAAGGATTTGGACAATAACAGGATGTGTCCTTCCCAGTAAAATGTCACAAATCATCTTGTTATCAAACCTGGCTGCAGTCGCAACAGATATGCCATTGTTCCTCTCTCAGCGTGATTTTCGCCTTTGCATGCAACTGTCTACATTTTTTTCAATTACATAGAGATTTTTATGGCAGCATTACATAATCCACTGGATGAGAAAATGCAAGAGAAATGTCAAAATACAGCCAAAATGTAAGATGTGTTTATCTGACCTTTTCAGGAAATCAAAACTGAGGCCCTGCATGCTGTGTTAAAAGCTAATTCTGAAATATTTTCGGAGGGTGGGGTATGGTAATAAATGAAAATATTATTCTTGAAATATTTGATAATGGGGCTGCACGGTGGTTCAGTTGTTAGTACTGTTGAGGAGGTTCCTGGTTCGAATCCCCCCGTCGGTCAAGGCCTCTCTGTGTAGAGTTTGCATGTTCCTTGTGGGTTCTCTCCGGGTACTCCTGCTTCCCCCACAGTTCAAAGACATGCTCGTTAGGTTAATTGGTGAATCTACATTGCCCGTAGGTGTGAATGTGAGTGTGGCTGATGTCTGTCTCTATATGTCAGCCCTGTGATTGACTGGCTAACAGTTCGGGTGTTCCCCGCCTCTCACCCAATGACTGCTGGGATCGGCTCAAGCTGCCCCGCACCGGACAAGCAGTATAGATAATGGATGAATGGATATTTGATCATCAATTTGTCTTCTAATATTTAATTCTTAGACAGTGGTAGTGATTAAACATTGTTCGTTTCCTTAGACGTAATCCGTAAAGCCCTTTCAGTGTCACATCACATTTGTTATGATGCCTTTAAAGACACAGAACCAGCCTGACATTTGTGCTTATTCCTCTGGGCTCTTCACCCAGCGCGCAGCCAGCCAGGGAATCGTTCAGACATTAGAGGCCCTGCGGGGACACAGCGGTAAATAAGTCATCCTTGTTGTCAATTTTCTTTTAAATTATTAAATAAAAACAATAAAAACTCCACTGGGATCACAAATGCATAGTTAAGGATGACACACTGAGACACATAAATGCACACACATACACACACAAACTTGTTACACCTAAGGTGAAAGAAGCACACTGATCATGCATGTACAGACAGGTAAACATACTTAATCAAATGCAGTTTCTGGGTCAAATGTTACAATGAGTAAATGCTACTGCAACCTCACAGAAAATCTGGAAATTTGGCCTGATGGATCAAGATAGAGATCTTCCAAACCAAATCACGTTAAATACACATGCCCTTCTAATGATTTTGCCCCAATCAATAAATGTCCTTATTTGACACAAAGACAGCGAGAGAGAGAGAGAGAGAGAGAGAGAGAAAGCATTGAGAGGGTGCAGCTCTGTGGCTCTCTGGTGTGTCACAGTGAGCGAGTGCGTGGGAGGAGATATGAAACATGCTCTGCAGTGGCACAGTCTGTGGAGGGCAAGAGACTGAAAGAGAGAGAAAGAGAGAGAAAAAGAGGAAAAGAGAGAGGAAAGGCCCACACAGTATAAAAAAAACACCACATGTCTATGGGTGAGATAAACAAAACATTCTCATTGGAAACTCAAAAGGTCACCTAGATATAATCATCTGGAAGCTTTATTGTTGCATGTTGTTCCTTTGTTTTTCTCTATAGTAAAGTTAATTATTTAAAAAATATATTTTAATAATTGTTTTTAAAAATATATATAATTGAATTTTACCATACAGTTTGTTAATAGTATTGCAATTCATTCTATTTCCCCCATGGACGAAATAGAAGTTAGCTTAAGTAATGGTGAATTGTCATACTAAGCTAAAAGTTATGGTTAAATCATGCTGAACGAGTGTGTTTTAGAATTAATGGACAAAAGCTAAATAATATAGGCTAGTGAGCAACAAGGTGGAATGAAAGGTGGAAATTGCTTTAAAGATTAATGGTTGAATGGTGGAAATAGTTAGCTAAAAGTAATGCATCAATGGTGGATATATTTAGCTAAAGGTTAACTTAAAGTAAAGGATGAAGGTTTGAAATCATAAAAGTTATAGATGAACTGTGGAAATTGTTTGATAAAATGTATGAAATGACTCTTGAAATTGTTCGTAGAGATAAAGGACAAAAGGTTCAAATTAGAAGCCAAAAGTCAAATGATATGTTTTGTTCGCTATAAGTGTTTCTAAACGATCAAATTGGTTAGTATTAAGGTTCATCTGGAGATACACGTATCTCCTAAGTAAGTGATAAATGTTAAATTCGTTTTTTATGGTTTTCCAGACATCACTTCATTATGCAGCAGCAACTCAACTTCTAAAGCAACTTTGTCTGACAGAATATGAAACAAAATTATTCATGTTGCCTGGAAAACTCTGAGCCTGCGTTTGAAGCTTACATAATTTTCTTTTTCTATTTTTTTTATAATGAAACTATCATTTTTCATCATACAAGAAAAGGGATGAGTCAGAGTCCAGTTTCTGTTGTTGCGGTGAATTCCAGTAAGGATCTGACAGCGTCACAGTCTTCGAGCACTGCCCCAGCTTCCTCTGTGTTCACTGAACTGTGCTGTATTAAAGGAGCGATAAGGCTGCAGTGTTTCCCCCTCCACCCTGACTGAGGGAGACAGCTGCTCTACTCCCGCCAGACTCCAACGAGGGCCTGGCTGCACGTTGCACTGTGTGGACCTGATGGAGGATGCAGATATAAGAGGCTGTTGTGGCTGGGCTGTTGAAAAGCAAAATTCAATGATATCTTAAGTAAGCTTTGTCTTCCCGTAAGGAATACATGTGTTTTAAGTGGTGTGAACATGCCTATAGTTTAAAATGAACAGTGGTAGAAAAACACTTAACCTTTTTTTTTTTTAAGTAAAGGTACCAATACAACAATAAAACTAATTCCCCAAAAAGTGAAAGAGCAACACTTGACAGACAATCCTTTAAGTATCTAAAAACAGAAAATGGTCCCTGTGTTCAGCATTTATGACTGAAACATGTCTCTGGAATGTAGTGGAGTAGAAGCGTCTTTGAGTTTCTAGAAAAGCGCGATATGAAACCAATTTATTATTATTATTATTATTATAAAATAGCATGAATTGGGAGATTCAAGCTTAGTATCATTACTTCATACCAAGAACTGATAACATAAGTGCATATTGACTTTGTCTACTAAAAACAGACAATAGTTAAGCACAGGACCTTAATCAGAGACAGCCCAAACATTCTCTGTTTACAGTAGCCTACACGTCTGCTGACATGTGAATGTATGTCCAGCGTCTTGCAGACAAAGGCCAGCATAACAGGCGGGCCTACGTGCAGATCTGAGTGCCACCACACATGCCATGCCTTGTCTCCACTCTACCATGTCAGTCGGTATCATTAAAGCCCTGGCTGCAGCCAGCCAGTTTCCTGTCTTGTTCATTATTTCTATCAATCTGTGCAGAATTGAAACCACACATGAAATAGTTCAAAGACACAACCTTTGTCTAACTCTTATGTTTGCAAAGTGCCCTCTCTGAAGATATTAGCAGGGGATGGAACATTTAGAAGCAGTGAGGGCAAATGTAAGATCTTTGTTTGCTTTGAAGTCAAGCTCACACTGGGGCCCTTAGGCAAGCATGGACTTTCTCTCACTGCAAGACACACATCTGTTAACAAAAGCACGTGAATGCAAATAATTGAGAGGTTAGGTTTTAATGTTTAAAAGGCAATTACTGGAAAATCATGTGTTTTTGGGGTTCCTTAGTGATTTTGGGAATATTTTTCCTCACACTTGTCTGAATATCCTGGCATTCGATGTGTGTGGAATTGTTTATCCCCCTGACAGTCAGACCCAACTATACCATATGTGTAATTACGGTAATTACATTAAAACATGTTTTCTTTTCTTATATTTCTAATTTGATTCAACTTGACATGTAAAGTGGTAACATCGTCCTCTGACACTTCACATAAAATGAAAAAATGGAAAACATGAGAATGACCCCCCCCCCTTTGAACCCCCCTATTATGTGGACTTTACTTGAAAAAACATTTATTTTAGATTGACAAATGCATTTGGTGACATGTCTTTGGCATAAAATCAATCACATATGCAAAACTGTAAAACAATTTAAAGTTGTTTTTATATTTTACCTTTTATTTTTCTTTTGTTATTTTCTTAACACAATTTTACATATTCTTCAGAAAAATGTTTTGGAAGACAAAAATAAAATAAGAATAAAAGTAGGTTCAGGGTAAGGTTTTATTCTGCTACTTTCTGTTTTCTGTTCAAATATAAGTTAAGCATTTTCTTAACTTTCATCATGACATAAACTTAAATGCTGTTTCCACTTAAAACATCTTATCTGTACAAGGCTTTCTCTTCATGGGAGCACTGGGTAAGTTATTTTGCGGTGCAACAGCGAGTCCGCGTGGCCAAAAAGAAAAAAAAACAATAATAAATATATGCCCCTTTAAATGCAGCGCACACGTGTCACCGGTAGGCGTCGCTGCTGAGCCGTGCAGAAGTCAACCAAGGAATTTCTGCTACAGCTGATTTGGTCGCCATCTTTGTCCAGAACATAAACAACATCAACCAAGTCGGGTTGGCATTTACATACCCTGCTGTTGTTCGGAAGAAACCCCCCCCTTCCTCCTCCTCCTCCTCCCCCCACAATCTGCTCGCTGATGCGCCAGTATTTTATCGGAAGATGACGGCTGACGTGGTAACCTGAAGCACCGTGAGAGTCAGACGGTAGGTGGGCTTCACTGTGAGCTGCAGGGTCGTCAGCTGATGTTTCTCTGCTTTTAAAAAAAAATAATACAAAAAATAGGTTGATTTGTGCACGAGCTGATGCCATGACAACGGTGCGGCTGTCATTAGCACACTGATTGGGGTTTTCAGCTTTAATATGTCTGTCTTTAAGATTTAATTAACCTCTTCAAATCGTGTCACTGACATTTATACCACCTTAGTTTCGCTGACATGCACGTAAAGCGTGATAATACGCTGTTTGTGTTACACTAGCTGGTTGATTTGGTTTCTGACCTGTTTTCTACAGAGATGGGGACCCGGTGTGGATTTCCTCAAAGGGAGAGAGCGGAGTTGTAAGGGGGGGGTGGGTGGGGGGCGGGGGCGGGAGGGGGGGAGGGCATCGGAGAGGGCCGGAGGAGATGGACCAGGAGTACGAGAGACGGCTGCTGAGGCAAATCAATCACCAGAACCTGCCGACCGAGGCCCGTCTGTCAAAGGTGAGGATGTAAGGATATTACACGTAGGCCTGTGTGTGTGTGTGTGTGTGTGTGTGTGTGTGTGTGTATGTGAGTCCTTCTTCCGCAGACAGTATGGGATAAACAGGATACTGGACCGATTTAAAGGTCCTTTACAGCCTCGTTTTTTCTACGTAGTATAACCCTGTTGAATGATTTGACGTGGGTTTGTTTTATTATAGTGTCATAATATGCAGCAATACACAGCTTTATACGAGCCCAGTGGTTTGCAATTAAACAAATAATACAGGAGAACAGGTTAGATGCATGGATTACAAATAATAATATAGAACAATCATTCTGAAGGGTTCAAAGCTCTACAAACAATGGTGGCAATTTATTTAGATTAGATTAGATGTTAAGAATGATAAAATACTGAACTATACTATTCTATGCTACAAAGAGGCTAAATCTCTCTCTGCCCCTGCTAAATTTCAATGATATGAAAATAATTCAATTGCAGCACTTTTCTTTATCCTTTCATGAATGTGACCCTTTTTTTTTCACTCAGGATTTTGATTTGAGTTATTTTACACAACTGACATGCACTTCCTTTGTTTAAATTGTGCACCTTCACTTTTTACAATTCATTGTCTCTACTATAGAGACTCTACTATACTAACTATAAACCCTTGTGCTGGAGCCATTGACCTCGGCAGTGCTGATAACCAGTACAACAGCGCTCCCTCTTGTGGGATCAAACTGGGATGTCCCACTCTGTTGTCATCAGTGTTTCAAGACATTTTAGTGCCTTAAGCAAATATTTCATTCATCCAAAGTGTTCTTAAATCATTATAATAAGGACAGTACACAATCAAATGTGAATCATTCTCTACTAAATCACATGATTATAACTGGAATGTAGGAAATGTTTGATATGCTCTCTCTGGTCTTTCAGTGTGTGAGTGCAACCTGCAGTCCTGTCAGTGTGAAGTCAGGGGACCGCTTCATTCCCACCCGCGCTGGAAGCAACTGGAGCATCAACTTCCACTACGCCAATGTGAGCCATTAGTCCAGTCACATGACCTGTGGTCGTGCTTCACAAGAACAAAGTGGTAATCCAAGCTGTATCAAAAATTCATGCTCATTTCTTTTTCTTCTTTTTTTTCTCTCCAGGAGAACTGTCGTTCCCCAAACCAGAACCATAAAGCTAAAGATGCCAGCTCGGACTCAAGCAAAGGTCAGGCACTTGTGCTTTCTGTGAATCATCCCTGTAGTTTGTGACTTCCAATATCTCTCAACAAACTGGGTTTTGATCACCTTTTCCACTCCCATCCCTGCAGATGCTGTAGCCTATGCAGCTTTGTTGAGGAATGAGTTACTTGGGGCTGGGATAGAGAGCGTGCCTGACCCTCACACGGACGACCGACGCCATGCAGTCCTCTCTCAAGACTCTCAAAGCCTTTTTAGGGTACAAGTCATTTAAAACGTGTGCTATTCAGCTCTTTTTAAGTCACTTACATCAAAAGAATGACACTGTACGTTAAATAGTTCTGTTTTCTGTGTTTTTTTCCTGCAGTACACTGTCCACACTAAGAGAGTGCCTTTCAATAGCGATAATGAAGTTTCACCATACTCCCTTTCCCCTCTTAGTAACAAAAGGTATGACAATGTTCACATGCAGCACCTTGAACACAAACAGTACTTAATCTACACAATCAGATAACTAGTCTGTCTTCTCATTATTCTGTAGTCACAAGCTGCTCCGCTCCCCTCGAAAACCTGCCCGCAAGATCTCAAAGATCCCCTTCAAAGTGCTGGATGCTCCAGAGCTGCAGGATGATTTCTACCTCAACCTGGTAGACTGGTCAGCAGGAAACCTGCTCAGTGTCGGACTGGGAGCCTGTGTCTACCTGTGGAGTGCCTGCACCAGCCAGGTCAGAGGAAGACTTAAAGACATTATTTTATTGTTTGATCTCTATGACAGACAGAAAAGCGATAATTAGCTAGAAAAGACCAGCACGATTGGAAAAAAACTGTTTAATGAATGCTGACAGGCATGACAGACTTCCAGGAACATTGTATCTATTTACTTTATGTTTAACACGTTTAAGTAAACTTTATCTCTTGATGGTTATAGGGTGCCTAGTGACAGACACAGAGGTGCAGCTGAGGGAGTTACTGACAAACAGTTACAGCACACCCGCTTGTAGTCAGACCAGTCACACCCGTAAAGATACACAACTCTTCTATCATAAAATCAAAACAGATATATATATTTTTTAAACCCCACAGTGTGTGTGTCGACTAAGACATTAGTCTTTAAGACAAAAAGCATTTTTTGTACCAGTTTATTTCTGCTTCAAAATGGACATTTTAATAAGGGTGTGTATGGGACTTTTGGGTCTTTTGTAGCTAGCCTTAATAATTAGCCTTTTATTTATATATGGTTTATTGATAGGGACAGATGCAATATACTGTACATAGATATATTGGGGGCGGCAGTGGCTCTGTCTGACTTGTGTTGGGAACCAGACGTTCAACCATTCACGTCCCGGTACCGAGCGAAAGCATGGAAGTTGGTTTGGTTGCTGGAGAGGTGCCAGGTCACTCCCTGAGTACTGCCCAAGTGCTGTTAAATGAAACATTCAATATCTGTATAACACACACGTGTTCTGTTTATCTCAACAGGTGACAAGGTTGTGTGACCTGTCAGTGGATGGAGACTCTGTTACATCAGTTTGTTGGAATGAGAGGGTGAGCTGAATCTAATGTTTGTAAGAGAAAATTAACTTTTTGTAAAAGAGTCAATAATGTGAAAATAACAGTGGGTTTGCCTTTTGCTCTGGTTCTATCAGGGGAGTCTGGTTGCTGTTGGTACACACAAAGGTTACGTTCAGATCTGGGACGCAGCAGGAGGGAGGAAGCTGACCAGTCTGGAGGGTCACTCTGCACGTGTAGGTCAGTTAGGAACTGATGGCTCAGATGTTTTTGAGTCGGCTTGTAGAAAAATACTGGATATAAAAAAAGAGAATCCCTTAACAAATAATAGAATTTGGCATTTTACAATAACCCTTAGGTCCAAATGATTATTTCTACCAGCAAACGTGTTGTTATAAAACAAGAAACACCAGACTGACTCAAGACAGTCACAGTGAAACATGAGACCCTCTCCCTTTTGTCTCAAGGTGCTCTGGCGTGGAATGGAGAGCAGCTGTCGTCGGGGAGTCGGGATAGAGTGATCCTGCAGAGGGACGTCAGAACCCCCCCTTCTGCAGAGAGGAGGCTGCAAGGTCACAGACAGGAAGTGTGCGGCCTCAAATGGTCTCCTGACCACCAGCACCTAGCGTCTGGAGGGAACGACAACAAAGTGAGGCACTTTGAACTTTTTTACTGACAATTGTATTAATGAATACTCTTCTTAAACAGAGTGATCATATTCCTGTTCCTCTTAATCTCCTGCTCAGTTACTGGTGTGGAACAGCTCAAGCCTCCTCCCCGTGCAGCAGTACAGTGACCACCTGGCGGCGGTGAAGGCAATCGCATGGTCCCCCCACCAACACGGGTTGCTGGCATCGGGGGGCGGCACTGCAGACCGCTGCCTTCGTTTCTGGAACACGCTGACGGGTCAGGCCCTGCAGAGCACAGACACCGGCTCCCAGGTCTGCAACCTGGCCTGGTCCAAACATGCCAACGAACTGGTGAGAAGCATTTTACACACACATACAGAGTTATGAATAGACCTTCATGTTGGGGATTTAATCTCTATGCACTAATATCAGTGATTCTCAGACAATTTTGATGTCATTTTTAAAATTCATTCATCTTCAAAAAAAAAAGTGCCCAATGACGGCTGGGATCAGCTCCAGCCTGCTGCAACCCAGAACAGGATACTTGTTTTAGATAATGGATGGAAGAGATGGACATATCGTTATGTTTGGATAAAAATGTTAACAGCCCAGACAACCAAAAAATGGTATTATTACTATTAGGCTACATTGTGTGAAAATGCATTATATTGTTAATATATTATACTTACATAAGAGAGATGTAATGACAGCATCAAGCAAGTGATCACTTCACATTTATAATGATAACTTGGCTTAACCAATAAATATACATGAAGTTTCCACTTTCCAGCAGCAGCAGCTCTGCAGAAGACACGATGGAGTAGAAGTTTCTATACGGTTTTGTGTCTTTATTTTGTAACTGTTATTGTTTTGTTCACAGGTGAGCACTCACGGCTACTCTCAGAATCAGATCCTTGTGTGGAAGTATCCGTCTCTCACGCAGGTGGCCAAGCTGACAGGACATTCTTACAGAGTGCTCTATCTGGTAAGAATACAGGTTAGAGTCCATGTTCAGTGCCTGTGCAATTAGCTGACCTTTACGTCATCTGCTGGTGGGAAGTGTTATCATGTTTTATCATATATAATATTATTACTATAAATATATATTTATATTTGACTTCAGTATAAGAAGCAACACTAGAACATACAAGTGAAAGTCCAGCATTTACAAATCAAACCTAAATTAAGGCCTAGTTCACGTACAAGTGGGTCTTTTTGAAAATGTAGGTACAAATGCAACTGTGTTTTAGGTGACTGAAAACACACCGATTTTCAGAAACTCTGTTTAAGGCTTGTAACGTCATGCTGTGCGCCGGTTTCTTCTCCGTTTGATGTCATTGTGCGACACTTTCACTTTGGTTTACATGAGATTAGTGCAATTACAGACGTAACCAAACGAGTGCTGGTGTTAATGTTTCTAACTGGATTCTTTTACATGTTTAAACATACGTACACAGTTACTCTCCCACTTCCACAGTAGAGCAAACATCAGGAGTCGTTGAACTCACCTGTGTAGCCGTGCAGTGCCTTTAATTTGCAGATTAACTTTTGTAGTCAATGTGTAAAGAATTACAAATAAATTAATTTGTAAAGTAAAATGACCTCAAAATATCAAGTACATTCACAACTGGATTTGTCATTGATTCCTGTGACCTTGAACCTAAATGATCCATTTTACTCCATAGAATTGCACCCTTTAAACCTCCCCCTGCCCCCCCTCCCCCCCCCCTCTCCCCCGCCCCTCTCCCCCTCTCTCCCCCTCTCGTCTCAGGCGGTGTCACCGGATGGGGAGGCCATCGTTACAGGAGCTGGTGATGAGACACTACGTTTCTGGAATGTCTTCAGTAAGACACGCTGCACCAAGGTACAGTTACTCTGCCACATATGAACTAAAACTGGTTTAACAATATGTTGATATGGATCGATATATGGACACAACAATTCTCTATGATTGATACATAGTTCAGACAGAGACTGATGTGTTGTCTTAAATATACACCAGCCGATGCATAATCCAACAGCATTACAGAGGAATAGAATGTTTTTATTGGTTAAGTTATAAGTTTGTCAAATCACATCATTGATTTTTCGGTATAGATATGAATATCATTATGTATTGAATGGACCAGAGAATATATTTAAATCCTATTGCAGCAAACTTTAAGAAATCATCCTATCGTTGCTTGGTTCATAAATATAGTCTTTAATTGTTTAGGTATTGTGCTTTTTGTACTTAATGATTCCTGATTCTTATTTTATCCCTCTTACTTTTTGTGTGTCTGTATTTCTTAATGCTTAATTGTGTTTAAGAGTAACTGTGAGGCATTAAAGTGTTTATGATCTGATTCTTATTAAACGTGGGCTTTTCATCCCTGTCCATTCGATATATACAGCTTTCATACCTTGGTTGTTTGATGTTGCTTAACATCTTTAAGGTTCAGGTTCAACACTCACATGTTAAAGATACCAGCTGAAAAATGGATTCATCCGGATTATTAGTCATGACTGACTACATTACAAAGAGCTGAATTTCATTTCTTAAGGGTCACTAAACAAGATATTGATCATCATTTTAAATGATGAATACATTTTTCCCTGAGAGATGAAGGCATTTCGGGGTTTAAGAAAGAGTGACAGGTTTTAATGTTGGATCTCTTTCTGTTCACAGGAATCAAAGTCGGTGCTGAACCTCTTCACCAGAATACGGTAGTGTGCGCCTCAGGTCGGGACTGGTTTGATGAGCAGCCTTCTGAACTGCTTTTTGCACAAAATCCCTGATGATTCTCAAAGACTAGGCCTCTCTCATCTCAGCACCGGCTCTCAGTGCACCAGACACTACCAGTAGAATCATCCTCAAATCTTTTTTTCCTACAGAAGACACTGTCAAGACCTCTAAGAAAAACTGCCCGCCCTCAAAGTGATGTCTCTGACAAACACTGAAACATGTTGTCTGCTTCAAAGAGTCTGTCTTGTTTTCTTTTCTGTTGTGGAAGTGATGTAATTGTTTTATTATATATCATCAGAAGTATACATGTAGAATATTTCTAAGCTCTATAAAATCATGACGTCTCATTTTTAAAGGCTCTCCTTTACAAAGAGGAGGAGGAGGAGAAGTAGAAGAAGAGGCCAGGAGGGAGGGTCGGGGTTTCTATATTTTCATAATGTGTGAATATGAACTACAAGCAGTATACAAGAGAAGAGAAACAATAAATAAGAGAACATTCACACACAGTTGCTCAAGCAGCTGTAAAGAACCAACAGTTTATTTGTGTTTTGTCCGTTTGTGACACTTTTTATTTCTATCATGACAAAGTGATCTTACTACAAACATGTTGCACACAAGTCAGCCCTGATAACAATCACTTTCGTTCGTGTGTTTGCATCAGATCATTAGCGTGGTTTTAAAAGTCCAGTGTCACCCTCTAAAGTAAAAAAGTCCAGAAGTATTGGGAACATTTCTAGTTAAAAGACATTCACATTTTGGTTGTTTACTCTCTACATTCAGAGTATTATTCTAGTATCCAGACCCCTGCATCCCCCGACAGAGCAGAGAAAAGTCCTTCACGATCTCCTTCACACGACGCTTGTGCGTTTGTTCCCTGGATGAAAGAGAAACACGTCGTGGTCACAGATCGGACTTTGCACAGAAAACCTGAATGCCACTATCATTGGTAAATGTTAAATGGACTTGAGCTTTTCTAGTCTTCTGACTACTCAAAGCACTTCTACACTGCAGGTCACCCATTCACTCCCATTCACACCCTGATGGCAGGTTTCTATGTAAAGTGTCCATTAGAAGTAACTAATCCCATTCATACACACTCATACCCTGCTGACGAAGCAGCATGAGCAACTTGGGGTTAAATGTCTCAGCCAAGGACACATCAGGTATGTAGCTGCAGGAGCTGGGGATCGAACCCCCGACCTTCCGGTTAAGAGACGACCAACTCATACCAAAGTGAGCCACACCCTTTGGCCTTACAAAGTTTTTGAAAACAGTGTTGAAACCTGCGATTAACAACAGTTTAATCCTTTTAATTAGAGTGAATTAAGACGAATCATTTTCAATCTTTTAGTCCGGATAATCTTCAAGTATAAAAATCAAATGCTTCTCTCACAGAAAAAAAAAAAAATATGACTGTGTGTGTGGATGGTCTATTTATCGCCTAATGTAAGGAACAGTCAAAGTACGGAGCAGGAAACAAACTACCGTTTTGTTTTCTGTTGTTAATCATCACTTATGATATGAAGGTGTAATATTTTCTCCCTTCAATGAGCAATTTTCTGACAGTGCTTACTTTTCAAACACCAGCATAGTGTGTGTTTTTTTAATTTTTTATTAAGACTGCCTGAGTACACAACAAGCATGCATTTCTAATAGGAACTGTTTTGCTTTTCACCTGGTCTATAAACGGGCCTTAAAACAGATCTGTATTTGAATTACCTCAGAAGCTGTTGACTGAAGTTGTGTTTCTGCTCTGTGGAGACCTGTGCAGAGGGGAATCCTGGACTCTGCAGCGTTTCTTTGAGCCACTGAGACAGCAGAGCCGGGCAGTGTCTGTTCAGACTCAGCAGCACCTCAGAGAAGTGCTCCGTCAAACTGCGAGGAGACCCGCCTCCAACCGCCTGAGGCACGCGGATTAAAGATACAGCATGACAGTTTGAAATCAGACCATATCATGAATGAAATGCATTCACAGGTCTGATAAGTTAAGCATGTCACAAATGATACAGATTGTCATATCTCGTGTCCGATGAGTGACTCACCTGGAGTATGGTTTCTGTCAGGAGCTTTCCGTCCCTCTGCAACACTTCACCAAGCGAGGGAACATCTTTGCATCGAGGCAGCAGCTCGGTCTGTCGGACAGAGCACCAAAATAACAAGAATCTCTCGACTGATCATGAGGTGAGGCCTTTACTTTACGATTAAATCGTGCACAACATGTCTGCCTTGACTTACAAAGAAGAGACTGGCAGCTTTAACTGTTGGCGTCTCTGGAAACTTCAGTGACAGAATCCCTGAAAGAAAATGAAAAAAAAAGATCCTCTCAGGCAGAAATCAGAAAGACTTTATCTAATTTGTAGGACTATGAAAAGGTTTACATTTTGCCGTTGAAAAAAAACAATATTAGGATTTTCTTTGGTCTTAAAAAGTGGCAGAAATTTTGAAAATGAAGTATGAATTTTCACATCAAATATATGAACACGTCTGTGAGCGCAAGCTGCGTACAGAATACAGTAAAATGATACTCACCACAGTAAAATAGAGCTTTAACATCCAGCTGGTCAGACAGGTAAACATCAGGCTTCCTCTTCAGAATCTTATTGTGAAGAAAAACAAAAAATGTTGGGAATTTTTTTCTGTCTGATTCAGAAAAAAATAGACAAAGAATATAAAAAAAAAAAAAAAACCTGAGCATGAAGTTGCATAAATGATTCTGCAATATCAGGATGATCCCTTGGACCTGTGAAGGAAGGATCAGATCGGATGAGCAAACCTGCAATGTGTCATTGGATGAGCGTAAATGTCTTTGCAGGTGTTTGCTACCTTGCTGAAATATGTTCAGTGTTGTAGAAGTCAACAACTCAATCAGGCTTTTGATGTTAGAGTGTGCTGTTCCTCTCCTGCAAATATGTGAACCAGCTAATCACAAAGAAGAACAATGTTCAGTCCTTACAGCACTTTCAGAGCCTTCATTTCATTTACAGATGTAATGCTTTTGTTCTTGATCTGCGGGGGCGCACCTGCCGTGCAAGGTCCAGAGTAGAGGATTGTGGGAAGGCGCTGTAGATCAGCCCCAGCATTTCACTCAGCTGAGCAACCATCGGACCGAAGTCGTGTAGGAGGGTTCGGACTGACTTATCAAAGACCCCACACACTGCCTGGAGGGAGGAAACGGAAGAGCTGTGAGTCAGTAAATGCACACACATGAATCATATACACACACACACACACACACACACACACACACACACACACACACACACACACGACATCGAAGACATACAGTGTGTGTTTATGCAGGCAGCAGAAAGCCTCCTACCTCGACCACCTCTGAGTCATTGAGCCATTTGCTGAGGATGGTCTGAATCAACGTGAACACTTGCTGGAGCACAACAACAACCTGGAATTAAAATAAAGAGGATGTTTATATGACATTTTATATGATGAAAATGTTGCATGATATTAATGAACAAAGCTCACTCTAAGGGATTATGAAGAAACAGCTACTTCTCTTATCTATCACAAACAGTATAAACCATGTATTAGCTAGAATAGAAAATGAAAGCAGACTATTGTATCCCATACAAACAAATTTGTATTTGTTCTGGCTAAACTTACTGGATTTTGAGCGCTCGGTGAGGGAGGGAGTCTCGGGCTGGATGCTCCCTCTGAGTCATCTGCATGTCTGATGTCGAGAGTGGTGAAGAGACTGGACAACATCCCCAGGATGTGGATTATTAACTGTTTGTTAGCAGGGTTAGGCTGTACAGAGAGAAAGAGAGGAATATGAAGCTTTTGGAAAGAGCAACAACTGAAGGAAAGCTGCTGTGAGTGTGTGGAGAGGTCAGGGGTGATTTCCACTGTTACTGAAGGACGTTCTACCTAACGAGTTGTGGAGTTTATAATTCAATTGAACTTGAACCTTTATTCATTCTAAAAAGGACATTGAGGTTTTCCTCATTTCCAATGCCGTTGAGGTTACAATCACACTTAAAACACTGTGTTATGAAAACACTTTCGATTGGAAACAAAGTGGCTAGAAATCAAAAATACTAAACTTCACAAGAGAGGGAAGAGCTCTAATCTGTAGAGATTGCTGGAGAGCGTTCGTGGGTTTGGGAAATGCAGATTTATCGATTTCAGTGAAAGCTTGAGGGACTTTAAGAACAAGCCAATCAGTAGAACGGGCAGCTAAGGTGCCCAAATTGCACTCCAAAAGGTCTGTGATGTAAGGTGGACCATGTACTACTACCTGTGAACTATGTACTTTACCTCCTGCTGTGCCAGGGAGTCGAGCTGCTGCACATGAGGCGTGATGAGAGCGTGAAGTCTGACCAGAATGTCCTCCACAGGCAGGGCAGACAGCAGGAAACCTAGAGCTTGCATCAACCACATGCACTGGCTGCTCTGCACACACACACACACACACACACACACACACACACACAGACACACATACAGGAACACAAACAGCACACGTCATACATGAGAGATGAGAGAGACGGCTGCTGCGTTTGTGTTAACAGAAAGTGAAAATAAACCGGTTGAGCTGAGGGCTGCTTACTCACCTTGTGGATTTCTTTCACCAGCACATCCTACAGGATGACACAACGATTATTGCAAAGATACAAAAACATACATCATATTGATGGGAAAAATGGCCACATGTTTAACCTGTGACACGGTCAGGATGTCCTGAGCGTAAGGGCCGAGGTCGTGTCTACACTCCCTGCAGATCCTCTTCAGAGTAGAAACACTGGACACAGACAGCTCAGGCTTCACAAGGCCCTGAAGCACCATGGGTAATATGCCGCCCAGCATTACTGGGTGGTCAGCCAACCACTCAGCAAGGGAACCTGGACACAGGGGGAAGTCATTGAGGGGTAGTGTATGTCATGGACACTCTAGTGCATACCAGGAGACAAAAAAGATGAATCTATTCACATGACGGTCATTTTCTTCAGACTGCATGTTCGGCATTTGACGCTCAAAGAAATGTATGTGGTCTAGAAATTGAATTTCACAGCTTCACAATCAATAAGCAACGGGAAAACAGTTGATAGTAGAAATCTAGGAAGATACTTCAAGTTATGATAACATATTTGACAACAAAGTAGCTAGCATTAAACATCAACTACTTTAAGCATTTAACCTTTAAAACATAACTCAAGCTCTGCACAACTTAAAATTTATTTCTGGAATTCTGTCATCACATCTTTGTAATAAATCTTTGCCAATGTTTTATGCAACAGCACTTTTGAGTGTCTTGTGTTTATAGGATTTGCAATCTGGAGTAACATTATAACAGAACCTAAGTTTTCTGAGCATGACGTCAGAGGAAAATGCCGCTGCATGAATATGGTGACTACGCTTAAATTCATTTGTTTGCAATTTGTAAAAATGGTGTTACAGTTTAAATACTTTATTTTACCTAAGTCTTCCTGGGTAAATTGAACTGTACTGACTAAGAGGGGCACAATAGAAAACAAATGTCAGGCATGAACAGTACCTATGGTGTACATGACTGTGTCAGCCAGCATTACATTGCTGATGTTGATTCTGGGGATGAGACCAATAAGACCGGGGATAACATCCGAGTAGTTCACATCAATGGTCTCAGCTATAGACTGGAAGCCAAATAACAAGGCCTCTGTGTCCTAAAGATGGAGGACAACAAACGAAACATGATGTCTGACTCAAAACAGAGGAAGAGGAAACACATTCGGAAAGAGGCAAAAAGAACTATTTAAAATCAACAGATATTAATTGGAAGATTTTATGATGATGCTCACTTTCCTAATGTTTAAATACCCATTCAATTCTCACATTAAGATTTCTAATAGGAGTCAGTTATACTTTTACCTGCCATACTGCCGACTGCTGGGGGTCCATCAGCTGCCGCCCAAGTCTGTCGTAGAGGTTACTGAGCAGCTCTGCCCCCAGCATTTCATACACATACATCAGAGTGTCGGAGATGTCCACTCTGAAATGCAAAATGCAACAGAAGCAGCTTGTGTAGCCTCTACGTTTAACCTAGTTTGCGGAAATGTTGCTTAAATTTGGTACAGACATTTTCTCACAGGATGAAAGGTTTTTATCTGAATATAAATCCTAAGAAAAACCTTTTCTTTTTTTTTGTCTGACCTGTAAATTCTGAACTGCTCCTTGTCATCAGAGGACCAGGAGGCGTACTCCTCCTGGGAAGGATAGTGAGATTTGTGTAGTAGCACGTCCACCAGCTGGAAGTAAACCGGCCTGTAGACCTGCAGGTAAACAACCTGCTTTTCCTCCTCAAACGACATGATGTCATCCTAAACATGCAAAAACATTATTAAAAACACTCAATCAACAAACAATAGTAGAAAGATTTAAACCACAAACCATGTACTGTGTGTTTCCCATACCTGCAGAGTGTACCAGAATGTGAGTGTGAGGGAGCTGGTGGTCTCTCTGACTGGGTAGTGCCCGGGGGTGTCGGTGCAGAAAAGAATCATGTTAACTAAAGCCAGATATTCTTGCCAGTGCTCCACCTGTTCCAACAAAACCCTGTCATACACAAACACATTTTTCCAAATTAAGAGTTAAAAGCCATTTACTGAAGCCAGGTTAGATGATGGCAGTTCCTGTGTGACCATCTGTGTGTACCTGGAGTGTGTTTCCCCCATGGCAACAGCAATACGACAGATGCCATGTGAGGTCTCCATGTCCCCATCCTGAGCTGCTGCCTTCAGCTGGTCATGGAGACCCAGCACCAGAGGCACCAAGTTCACCAGAGCATCGATGTACCTGCACATGTTACGAGTTAAAAGATTATCCTCAGAGTCTGCTAAAAGTTAAAAGGCAAAGTAAGTTCATTGTCTGTTGGGATGTTTAACGCATTGATATGTTTAAAATTCATGAAGACTTGCTCAAATAATAAAACGATTGATACAACCCAAAGGCCTACATGCTTAAAAAATGAATCCAAATGATAGAAAAGTGTATATCTTGATTTTTATTTTTATTTTTCAGCTGCAATAGATTAGATTACTGATCTAAAAAGTGGTCTTGATCTGACAGCCTGAGATCGATTGCTTTTGTCTGCACAAACGGAAATGGCGGTGTTTTAAAATGTTTTTAGCTGAGAAAAAATCACACTAACACCCTGAGTTCTCCCCTGTTTTTCAGGTAGGCTATGTTGTCGATTATTAATAGAGTTCCTTGCCTTCAGTAACTTGCTTACATGTCAAGAGAATCTAACATTTGAGTGAATTGATGTTATTATCGACGATATCACTGCGCCTAGCTTTACTGTCAGGTAGCCTACATAGGCCATCACTGAAGTGCAGGATGTGAAAAAAGTTCACGAAAACCAGAAGCGAATACAATGTATGAAAACTGAAGTTACCATTTATATGAAAAGTATTACCTGATATTCTGGGTAGGCTAATCTACTAAATAAATATTCACAAATTGGAATCTAACCCTACCTTATGGTAATGCAGGTGTGAGAGAGAGTGAGTTCCCATAACAGAGAAAAACCTGTAGCTTAGTGCAACCATATTTATATTATTTAAATGAATTACATAGAAACTTGGCTGTAGTAACTTGGAAACATGTCAAGAGTGTGGGTAACATTGGAGTGACAGGTGAAGGTGTATTCAAGATTTTTGTCAACCTTACGTTCAAATGTTCACATATTATATTATGTTGTTGTTCTTCTTTAATATGTACTTCCTTGTATACTTGTTTGTTTTGAAGTATATTTTAAGCTTTACAGAATTGTCCCCTTTTATTTTCAGCAGGCATAACAAACACATATGCTCTGACTGTAAATATTAACGGTCGAATCGTGGTCGCCATGATGGGAAATCCTGTCTCAGCCTAACTTTCAGTCAGTCTAACCACAGGCTGGACAAGAGCGATAGCTGAGGTGGGTTTTAAGGCTCCACACAAACAAATACATTGCGCCAACTTGTCAGCCAATCAGGTAAGTTACGCGCCTTATTGTGAATAAGGCTTGTCCTTCATGAAATCAAAACGGATGAGTTATCAAAACATTAACCGAGTACAGTGTGTGCCAATCAAGACATGAGCTTATCAAACTACTTTTCTTTTTTCTTACCAGGCTGTAAACATGTTAGTTTCTGCTGTAAAAGCTGTTTTTTTTTAAATAGGGTTTTATGTGACTTCTGCAGCCAGCCTCAAGCAGACACTCGACAAAGTGCAGGATTTTGTATTTCCGCATCTGCTTCATTTTTCAATGGCTCTGATTCACACAACTGACTGTTACTAAATGCTGAATGTTTTATCCATTATGTGTCTCACCTTTGGCAGTCTGGCTGTGAGATGGCATTAACTATCGTCTCCACAGCCGTGTCAAACAGCTCTGGGTTGGACAGTGCAGGGAAACAGTCCTGGACCAGTTCATGACTCTCCCCTAATGGCACATCCAGCCCCACCCAGCTGGAAAGGCAGCGGAGCACCCTCTCCTTCACCTGCACAGAGGAGTCCTGGCTTTGAAGCAGTTGGCGTAGCAGTGGACACACCATCGCCCACTCCCCAGTTAGAGCCTCCCTCAGCTGGGCACGACGAGCCTGAGCCAGCCGGCTGCTCTGGAACTCTTCTGGAAGTACTGTCAGGAGCTCCAGTAGTGCCAGGCAGTGTACATGAGGTTCCTGCACAGACTCTGCACCCTCAGAATCAGGCGTCTGTGGCTGGAAGGCCCTCACCATGTCCGCCACTGGCTGGGACCAGGCCTGTGGGATTAAGTTTAGAGCCATAGCAGCAAGGGCCACACAGAGTCTGGTGAGCACCATTTTTGGCCCGGATGAGAAGTGAAGGATGTGGGAGAGGAGCTGCATCCTCAGGCTCTCATGCTGGTCCGTGGGGAGGTCGGTCCAGTGACGAGAGATCTTGGTGTGTAGGGTGCTGGCACCAAAAAATTGTACCTCTGGTAGCTGAAAAGAAACAGACAGCTTGAACTCAAAACGGCAAGATGAAATGTCAGCACTGTTTTAACTTCAACTGTGCAGTTCTAAAGACGTTTAAGTAGGCACACAGCCACAGACCTTGTCAGGACCAAGCAGGGCCCAGCAGAACTGCCATGCCTGTGCTGAGGCCTGGGCCTGGGGTTAACCACTTCTGGGCCACATTCTTACGCTCCATGTCCGGGTCGAAATACAGCTGATAGAGAGCCTGAAGAAGGGGAGAAGAACCAATACAAAGGTATGGGAGCATTTGCAAAGGGTAACTCAATATTAACAGATACTAGTAATGATGACATGACATACCTACTCTGAGGGGGGGGGACGATAATGACAATCTGAGATTTATCTGGGTAACAACTTGACTAATTTAATGTAGCACAATTAAGTTGAATTTCTGAGAGAATTTCAGATTCATTTTTAATCACAGCATGCCGAATTGGTTGAATACAGTTAGAAAATGTGTTGTCATGACAACTAATCCAAAGCACATGGTGTTAGTTATTATTAGGACAGCATATGCTTATAGCTGGTATCATGTTGCAAAGGTCCAGTTAGTGTAATTTGCCCATGTTAAAGTATAATAAACAAATACAAATAAAAAAGTAGTTTTAACCGAACTCCTCTTGTTCAGCCTTTACAGAAATAATTGTAGGCTACACATAAACCCTAAAATATATCAGAATCCAAATGATGTGGCAGAAAACAAACACAGTCAAATCAGCTGTCGTGTAATGTGGTGTACACAGAGGCACAATTAGTACGCACAATACATGAGAGGCTGATTATTGTCAAGTTACTTACCGACTCCACATTCTCCACCGTAAACTCCAACTCCACCGGGATATCTCCCGGATTGGATGGAGGATCCATCTCCCGCAGCGTGAAGGAAGAGCTCTCCCTGTTGCTTTTGGTTAAATCCTTTAGCAATTAAAGCCTCTCCAGTGAGCAAAAAAAGAAGAAGCAATTGTTAAAAAAAAAACAAGTGTCCTCTAAAGTGTGCCTTAGCACGCTGACAGAGGACGCAGCGGGTCATTCAGCTGTTCATACAGCACACATGTGGGTAGTGCGCTCAGGCGTGACGACACACTGACCTCTGTGGTGCTCAAAAGTTGTCTCACATTACCAGCAACAAACACTGACACCTATCACACCCATCGCTGTGTAGTGACTTTATTTTACGCTACATTTGTAATATAGGCTAAATTATACACAAAGGAAACTTGCTAACAGCTTGTCTGTGTGTTTTTAATGCCACAGCGCCGCACAACAGGCGCTTCTGACGCAGACGGCTGCGCTTCTGACGCAGTGACGTCTGATTGGAGCAGCGGAGCAACAGCAACTGCAAACTGATGCATGTGGGAGGAAAATATAGAGAGATTGGTGAATGTGACAGGAGTTAACACAGAGCACGAGAGTGAAACATTTCGGAGTTTTTTTTATGGCAAGAAAAGTGACGCGTTTTACTCTGCGCGTGAGTCTAAAATTCGCCGCCTGCTTGCCGCGCGGCCCCACCCCTGCTCCTCTTCTGCCCGACTCCCTCCGGATATTTTTAGCGCTGATGATGTGCCCTGTCAAATCACGTAACGGAAACAGCCTCGGAGCTGAAAAGCAGAGCTGCCGCGTAGAGAAAGCGTTGGGTCCTTTTTTCTTTGTGATCTGCAGAGAAAAAGCCGCGGATGAGATGAAATTTGAAAATACTTTTGTGTTTTGCGTCTTGGTAATCCTTACCGGCTCATCGCAGACGAGAGGTAAGGTGTCTCCCTGGTGTGTGAGTGTGTGAAAGTGTGTGTGTGTGTGTGTGTGTGTGTGTGTGTGTGTGTGTGTGTGTGTGTGTGTGTGTGTGTGTGTGTATCTCTGATCTGACTTGACATCCTGCTGACGTTGGACTCGATAGCCCATGATGATCTCGTGGATTGATCTTACAGAAGGATGCTACAGAGCTTGCAGGCTGCTGTTCACTTTTTTAAAAATGAACTCAAGATAATTAAGATAGAACTGTATTTCATAAACTGTGGCCTAAATGTGATGTTTGTTTACACATCCAATGTAGGTTTTTGACCACCAGGGTCGAGGAAATGTATTTCAACTAGAATGTTCTTGATCAGTTAAGACTTGTAATTGCTCATAAATATGATTTATCTTGTTTCATACATGCAAACAGCAACAAAATCATGCATGCATGCAAAACATTCTTCTTTTTTTTTACGATGCATTGTCTCAGTGGATTAAGAATACATTCTGGTTTCATCTTCTCCAGAAGGGTTTGTCTATTGCATGACTTAATGATAAGTAACTATATAACTTTGAGTTTTGAATCATAAAGACACATTTTTCCTCCTAAATGCACCTTTTATTATATTAGGCTATACCTAATACTGCAATAATCAAACCAAGTCACTTTTAATCATCACTTGTCTCTTTAACTTTCACTGCACATGATGTCTTCATTTTCATTTTTCACTCCTTAATATTCCCCTGGTATATACCTCTTATTTTATTAATATTTATCTGAACTATTCTGTTTTGATTTTGACTTTTTTGTACTATACCTACTTGCTACTGAGTCTTTGTGTTGCTGCAAACCCTGAATTTCCCCTCTGGGGATCATAAAGAATTATCGTATCTCATCCTGATCATGTTTTAACATCTCAGGAATTCCTCGGGATTGGCCCGCTATGATTGCAAAATAAACATGTTTTTGGTTTTTGAACTGCTTAGACTTGTTACTGCTTTCCATGTTTGACCCAGTTTAGTTATTCAGTCAGGGCCTTTGTAGTACCATTCTCTTTTAAACATTTGTTTCTGTAGAGTACCCAAACTTTATGAAAGTGAAGTAGAAAATGTTTGCAGAGGCTTGTAAACTCACCATGCTCACACAGCTGCTATTTCAGAATGATGATTTTTCGATTGATTATACGTTATAATTCATCTTTGATTTCACAGGTCAGAGCAGTGCTGCCATGCCTCCTGAAACCTCGATTTCTCCTGACCCGACAGAGGATCCAAATCATGAGGTCCCACAGTGGACACACATTCCTGCAGACCAGGAAGAAACCTCAACTCAAACCACCATTACAAAAACAGAAGTCCATTTAGAGACTGTAAAAAGTACAGCGTTTCAAACATCAACTGCGGGCTATACCTTGGCTACATCTCAACACACAGAAGTACCTGTCTCCATGACTGCTCACAACGCCACTTCTTCAGCTCCAGGTAATTCAGACAAACATGCATGCACTGTTTTCATTTAAACGCTGCTTCTTTTCAAGTTGAAGCCTTGGAAACATAGGAATTATGGTGATCATTTCACTTGTTTTTCTAAAATTGTGCATCTATAATTTTCAAGTCCAGTCTGTTTACTTCGTCCAGATTCTTAAAATAAAATCCCCCACAAACTGAACGCTGTTTAAAACGACAGACATCCTCACTCCATTGCCAGCAGTATTCCAGGAACACAGCCACAACCTAGACCCCCACATGACTGGACTGAGACGGAGAGTGTGTGCTGTAACCTCATTAAAGAGATTCCCTTTTACAGATCAGATAAATATAACCCCTCTGTTGACGCCATGTTGGCTCTTTGCGCGGATTATTAATAAGCAACAAACGTAATGCTTTTATACAACACACTTTGGTTACCTTTTTTTTTTTAGCTTCATCCATCACATGTCTATGTTGAATAGTGTGTGTATATATATACATTATAGTATGTATTATAGTGAGTATTATATTACTTATGTTTGACTTGTGACCCCATAGAAGAACGTGAGTCTTTCCAACAACACCCAGCATCAGTGTAATATTACGATGAGGCTACTTAGCCCGCAGGAGCACTAAATACAGCCTTTCTCCCTCACACGTCATGTAAACAGTAGAGGCGCTTGTAATTTTACAGCTTCCAAAGTTCCTTGAACACACCCCCATCCCCAACCCCCTCCCCAACTGTCAGCATGAGCTATCCAACACGATGTAAACAGACACATGTGCTTTAAGTGGTGTGAGAGTATACTCATGATGAAAGACACAGATAAGGTGGGCTTTTCTTAATGCATGGGTAGTTGTAACAGAGAGATGAATAAAAAAAATCATCCAAATAACTAAACAGTGACTGACTTTGTATAAACATACAATACAATACAAATAACCTACTAAAAAAGAACTCTCAAACATTTTAATATATAGTGATCAACTGATTATTTTCTTTATTATAAGATTAATGTTTTGGGCTGTAAGCCGGCCTGTTCCCAGAAGTCATATTGTAATTTTCAGTCTTGTTGACCGAACAACACCAAGGTTAAAATAAATTCAGTGTACTGCAACAAACAAACAAAATGCTTATTACCAGCCTTATTTGCATCAAATAATTTAGATCTGAGAACTTAGAATACATTTGGCATACAAGATTTTTCTGCTGATACCTGTTGTGTACCAGAACAGACCCCTGCAAAATGTAGAGATACTCTGGAGGGAGCCTAGGGTAATGTCCACACAAACATTACTATGCTGTTGATTTGTAAAATCACAGATTATGTAAATAATAAGCAAAGAACATTGAGCTAGCTAATAAACAAGCTACAGTGACTGCAGACACAAGCATAGCCAAGAAGCAAAGTTTAGTAATGGAGCTGTCACCTTTCACTCAAAGCAATCCCTCCCTTAATTCAGCTGAACTGTAAACCTTCAATGTATAAACACCCGCTCCCCCCGCCCGTACAGTTGTTGTGAATAACTAGAGAGCTAGAAAGCAAAGAAATCAATACTCTTTGAGAGGACACAAACATGTTTACTTCTGCTGTAATTTTGAGCTTTGTAATTTGGGGTCTAACAGGGTTTGAACTGCTTTTAGAGCCCGCCTCAAGTGGCCACTAGAGGAACTGCAGTTTATGGCACTGCTGCTTACCTTGAGGGGTTTTTACTCAATGAAACTATGAACAGTTTAAACAGCAGGTGATTGTGCTGGATTTGTTTTGACAAAAAGCAAACAAACTGGTTTTTGACATTGTCAAGTATTTATGGATAGCAGATTTAATGTCAGGGGGAGGGATCTGTTTTTACGAGTTACCTCTGTTTGCTGTGTGTATGCTTTGTTTGCTTTGTACTGTACAACTCTGCCCTGATATCCCCTGTTTCAGCTCCTGCAGACAGCCTTTCATCCACACCGACTGTGGAGAGCTCCACCCCTACACAGCACATCTCCACCACTGAAGGCAGAGCCCTGCTGACCACAGAACCCCTCCCCAACTTTTCATCTCTGCCAGCCCACACGATGCATGGTACCAGCTCCACAGCCCACACCTCCACCACGCAGCAGCAGTCTGAGTCACTGACCACATCCTCCACAAAGCCAACAACCACAGGGCTCCCTCTGACCTCAGCCCCGGGCCGGGTTCCTGCAGGGCCGACGCACCAGGAGGTTCCATCTGAACTAAATGTTGGAGATGAAGGTAAGGTGGTGGACAGGGGGTAGAGAGTGTTGTTTAAGGACACCCTGCTTTGGTTTTATTTTCTCATTCTGGCCTAAAAGTGTGTTAATAATCAATTTTTCTTGTTTGTGTGTTATTATAGACCATAAGAGCCCCCGCTCAAGCTCCCCTCTGGACCCTCTGCTAGCTGGTCTGCTCTCAGTGTTTATTATCACCACTGCCATCGTCTTCGTCGTCCTCTTCCTCAAGTTCCGCCAGCGAACAAACCACCCAGAGTTCCATCGGCTGCAGGATCTACCCATGGTGAGATACTTTTCTGTTCCTACAACACAGTAATGCTATTGAAGAACAAGTCCTGATTTTGTTTACGTTTTGCTGAGGGTTATATTCTCCAACTTACCCTGGAGAACAGTTGTATCATTTCTGATGTGTGTAGGATTGACCGGTTTTGATATTTTCACCAGTCCTATGAACCAAAGATCCTTTTGACTGTTCTGATGTACCCAATCTTTTTTTAAAGGCACTTCTACATTTCTGCATCTTAAATTCACAGTGTCTGCATTGGGGCCAACATCTTACATAATGCTCAGACTGGAAAGTCTAAATAATGTTATTAAGCCTTAATGCTGCGTTTCATATTCTCAAATTATATAACATCAGGGAATTCATTCACTTTTCATTTCACAGAAAACTGAAAAGACTGTAGGTAAACCCAGAAAGACATTGGACTCCATGCCAGATGAAAACAATATACGGTACCTGATAACCCATTAGGCTTTGATAAGTTACTAAAGGTAACATTAGCATTCAACTCCTTTCTAGCTAACTTTGCCTTTATCTGGCTAACATTAGTATTAGCTAGGAATCAATGCCTTTTCTTTGCCTTAATCCAACTGTAAACTAGCTAACATTACTGTTAGCTAAGAATTTACCCCTTTTCTTTAATACCGTGTTACACTATTAACACTATTATTTGTTAGCCAGTTAGAAGTTGAATGCTATTGTTGTAACAAGTAGCGTATGCGTTATCAGATTCTTGCTGTACCTGGCTATGTCTTTCCAAAAAGCGGAGAAGCGTTTGCAAACCTGGAAACCATCTAAATGTGATGAATTGCAACCCTACATGTTCGATTTTCCCTCCCGGCCATGTTTGAAAATCATCTATGAATGTGTGACTTTTTTAAAAGTTTGAACCATAAACACTCCAAGTTCATAGGGTGACATTTTCATCAGTTGGTGTTTAAAATCAATCAATGTCAAGATGCCCAGTACCCCGGCTAATGAAGCACACAACCTGTCTAACAGTAACTATTAAATATGGCGGATCATTTACAAGTACACAAATAAAAGGAAAACTGTTAGGCCTGTTCCTCCATTCCTCTCTACAAACACCCTTGAAATCTAGTGTGCTCATGATAACTTAAACATACATTTGCATGAGTTGTTGTGATGAACACTTCAGAGAATCACATGGAAAAACACAAAACCAGGGTTCAAGACCAACTGAGTATATACACATTCACCTTGTGACATTTCTTCCTCACCTGTGCAAAGTCCTTTTTAAAGACTGTTTGTATTTTGTGTTTTCATCATCTTCTCCAGGATGATTTGATGGAGGACACACCTCTCTCCAGGTATAGCTACTGATCCAATGAATCCATTCAGTCACTTCTACCACTCAGCGAGCAGAAGAGAAGAAGAGACGCCAGAGGAGCCAGTGTTGGTCTAAGGAAAGCCTTTGCCTAAATGCAACCATGTTTTGAGTATTTTTGGTCAGAGATAGTAATGTGCCTTTCTGGTTACATGAATCATAACATCTTTTAAAAAGAGAGGATTCTGCTGTACGTTTTGCCACATTCCCTTTAAACTTCCACAGATCTTCAGTCTGGTGGAAAGCATGTTGGTTTCTTTCTTTCCGGAGGGCGGTTAAATAGTACCTCTGCACCTCAGTCTGACTCCTCATGTATGCACAGCACTTTAATGTGGCATGAATGGTCACATCGCCCCCTGGGGGACTTCTTAGGTAGTGTGGATCAAGGCAGCATGAAGTCCTCTGATGTATTTAATACACAACCTCAGGTTATCAAGAAAGATATAAGTGTGGATATCAGAGACGGAGTGAGGATATTCTTTTAAGATGGAAAGATGCCAACATGCCTAAAACAAGTATTGATTATAAATGAAGATCCCTTTGGTGACCAAATAGTGAAAAGCACTTTCAAATCCATTTCGCCCGGTTGCTCATGTTGTCTTCATATTGAGGCCTTGCTGTAGAAAATCAGCAGAAGCAAGACATCTTTTAATTCCCAAGCCATAAACAAACCAGCTCTCCAGCAGCCAATCATGCAAGTATATGAACCAGATTACATTTGGAAAGCATTGATCTTTGCAGCCTTCTAGTTAGATTTATTAATTTAACCATAACAGTTTTTTTTTAATGCTACTCTATGAAACTTAATTTGGCTTTTTGCTTTTTGATGATGAATTCACCAATCCACACTGAGACAAGACCTTGCTTCACTTAACAAAACCATTTGCAGGAGTACATTCTGAAGTTTCATTCAAATATTACGGTTGAATGTGTTGTAAAATTCATATTTATGAAGAATGTATTTGTTTTGTACAAAAGCTTTTACTGAAAACAATGAAAGGAGGTGCAGGGAGTTGTCCAGTTCAGACTGTCATTAGATTTATGTGTATTAGCTGGAGTATTATTCAAATGTACTTGAACAAAGCTGACTTATCAGCGTTTTTAGTGTGTGGTCTCAGTAACAGTGATGTATGATAATATGTCATTGAAATGTGGACCTGCAAGAACTTCTTCTGGATTGTTTGATAATAAAAGTTAAACCACGGGACTGCAAGCCTCATGTTGCAGATGCAGAGGCAGTGGGACCTTGTTAGAGCAAAGCTAAACTGTGTTTAAAGGATTTTGCTGTGTCATTGTACTAAGTGCTTTTTCTGTAGGTCTTCTTTAACTGACAGCTCTGCAGAGATATCAAACACCTGCCTCCACAAGTACAGTGGACTTTGGTCGATTAATCAGATTTAAAAAAGGAAAGCCACTCCTTACACACACGCACCAGATCTAAGACTACACATTCACACGCTCATTCAACAGCCAAAAAAAGAGCACACAATTATTTATAATCAATGACTGATATTTATTGTCATCAGTAAGACAAGTCAAAAACGTTCTTTTCAGTATGACTAACATAATCTAAAAACTACAGAAAGACAATCATGAGCGGATTTGACATGTTTTGTACTTGATGTAAGTAACTATTGTTTTCAGGTTTTCATTGATCTACAAAATCTGATGTTTTCAGTCAAGCATATACAAACAAAATGTCCAATGCTCTAAGCTTCATTACCTCTGAAATATCCCTTTTTATTACAGAATCTCCATTTGTTTATTGCAAAAATACATGAGCATATTCTATAAACTTGAAATTAGGGACAAACTGACAGATCTTGCAGTCAGTGGGAGAGCCTGAAAACACATTCATAATGAGGCATTTGACTCCCAGCAGAACCAGTCAGGTCACTAGAGAGCATTAGCCTCACCTGACTTTCAATGTCAAATCGGTCAAAGGTTAGCACACATGATGAAAGGAATATGGGTTATAGAAGTGGCTTTGACTATAAGGCGAATGACTAATTGGGCCCCACTGTTAAGAGTTGGTCCTCAGCATTAAACATTAACCTGACGGAAGGGGCCTCGCATCCGTGGTCCCGTCCAGCCAAGAAGCTGGCGGCCGAAGTTGAACGTGGACAGCATCAGGCCGAGCATGGCAAAGTTCCCAAATGATCCACGCATCCTTTTTTTAGGATCTGATTAAGAATAATGGTAACAATAAAGACTTATTTACACCCTGCTGTATGTTACCAAAGAAGAAAATGACTTTGAACTTTTGTCAACATGGTCTACTTACCTCCTGTAGAGTACCCATGTGCGTACACCTCTCTGCTTACAATCCACACAACTCCAAGTCCAGTGGCAGCCCGCTGTGACAGCCACACACACACGCACACGCACACACACAATCAAAGGAAACGAAATGAGATATGCCAAGGTTTTTTTTTTTTCATAGTATATTAACTTATTCCAGAATCCCATCAAATCACTTAAAAACTGATTCAAAGTGTGAACTTCAATGACTTTGCATGTAACGCCTTATTGTGGACAAGGTGCTACAGTGGTATGACGGTGCAAAAATCTACTTACAGGACAATTCATTCCAGCAAAAGCAAGGCAGAAGAGAAAGGCGGGGTAGATCTCCAGACTGGTGGGACGTGAAAGGATTAGGTTGACTTTCACCACTTCATTCATTACTTGCTTGAGTCATAAAAGTGTGGCGCAATGACAGACAAAGTTAAAGTTGTATTGCTGACATTAAAAAGTTAGACTTACGTGTTTTGGTGAGCACGCTGGATGCAGTTGAAAACATTCCCATTTTCTGGGTCGTCACTGTACATCTGAGGATACTGCAAGGCAAGGCAAGTATGTTTGTAGAGTAAATCTTAAGAGCTGAAGAGTAAGCTACAAAATATGTGCCCAGCCCCAGTTTGAATCCAAGTCAACAAACTGCACACTTAGCCTACTGGGTTCATAGAATGAATGGAAGCAGGTTCCTAACAGTGTAAATGAGAAAGCAAGGGCTTTGGATATTGAACAATACTCACAGGCACGTTGTACTTCTTGCGGGCTTTTCCAACTTTAATGGCCAGATGTGTCACCATCACCATGCTGGCAACACCAGTCAACACCACATATCCATACTCCTTGGAAAGCACAACCATCCTGACGACTCTGACAGAGAAATAAACACAGCCAATATTAAATGACCCGATTAAAGATGCATAGATTTTTTTATTCATTTTTAAATAAATAACTTTTACATTTGTTTTTCACCTAGCTTTTTTCCCCTTCATTTTAGTAATAGGTCAGAATATGGAAAAAGTACAAACACTTGCAAAACATTACAAACATTGCAGCTTTTCAAGAATTTGAATACACATCATTCTGGGCTTGTGGGCTTTCTTGACTCTGTTACAGCGAATGACTTACAAATCTGTCAACGAGAAGATAAAACCAAAAGCAGGCAGCAAGGACGACTTGAAAACGAAAGGTCAGATAAGGACTCAAACGTCGCCATTAATGTTTGAATAACAACTTTGAGAGGAAACGCGACATAATGACAGACACCAAAAGAATTAAAGCGTTTACCTTACAGATGAAGCTGGAGCACGACGCAGATAGCTTGAAAGCTCAGGTAAAGATAGGTAGACGAGCAGACGCTCTGAAGTTTCCTACATGAATGCGTCGGTTTGCGTGAGGCTTACGTAACACAGAGAGGGCGTGACACCGGCAGAGCAGACTTTCCGTGTTTTAGAGAATCATTTCCTCGACAGATTTAATATCTAATGAGTGCTAAGTGTCACCTAAACATCCGGTTTCACTTCTCGGTATAGTTGCATTTGTGTTACAAAGCAACATTTCACCGATGGAGAATTAGTTCCACTTTAGGGACATGCGCAGAGACCGCGGGTAGGCTGCTTTGATATACACTCGTTGCCAGGGCAACCAGCTGAAACTAGTGGACTCAGAAAGACCAACAGGAAGTGCTAAATTTAAGGCTACTGGGACAACACAGTGGGGCGAATACAGCTAACACATTTATGTAGCCTACACTAATTATCTTTGCTTGTTACGTATTTCCAATGTAATTGGTATATTAGTTATAAAGTTATACATATTGTGTTTATAATTCATACAAGCACATATAGCCTATATGTGTAGACCTACACCCCTCTTCTCCACCCCCCTTATTTATTTTTTTTACTCCATTTTATTCAACTACATTTCTGTTTTGCTGCTCTGGTAGAATCACTTAACAAAGTTTCTTGTTAAAATAAGGTGCCTTTACAAATGTCCATAAGCCATAGGCTATCCCTGAATAGAATAGATATAAAGAATAAAAATATGAGTTACAAAAAGCTGCATCTTCACCACCACCTATTGAACTGAGCAAGGGGTGGTGCTGTTCTGAAGCAGATTTCCTTTCAAAACACCCAGGAGAAACGTCTTGATTAATCTCAGTACAATGTGATTGCATATATTGGTGGTCACCTCCTCTTCTCTAGTTTAATCTGTAACCTGAGTAAGATTTATCACTACATTAATTGATGCATAAATCAATATGGTTAATTATTATCAGTAAATTGCAGCTATAAAGTGACAGGTCCAAGAGTCCAAAAATACAACAAACAGCATTAGATATGACAAATTGATATGTTCAACAATGCGAAGAAACACTCCTTTTGTATGAGAAATGACTTGTAAGGAGAACCACAGGTGCACGTTTACAGCATATCATACTGCAGTCTTGTTGAGTAAGTGAGTTCATAATCTCATAGCCTCTATTCTGGAAAACTGAGAGGGAAGGAAGCTAAAAAATGATTGGACCGCACTGTTGAGGTGACCTGACAGGCCAGACTTCTCTGTGTCACATATCAGGTTAATTTGAGTATGCAAACCCTATTGCTATGGACACAGGGTCAAAACCACAAGAGCTGCTGACATGGGACTACAGTCATAATCATTATTAAATACTTAATATTACGTTTCATTATATTTAAACAGTAGTGCTGTTGAACTAAATATCACCACTATGGCTTTGATTCATTAGTGAGTGGCCCTCAGACAAGTGCTGAAGATAATCACAGCGTGCTGATTTAAAGTACAACAGCCAGACCTCTTGTGTGATATCGCTTTTAACAACAGTTGTACAAACTCCAGAAACACTTGTAGTATGGAGATCAACTTTATTAACAAATTAAACAGGCTCCACCCATGGCCATGACCCTGTTGAACACCATGAGCTAAAACAGAACAAAGCAGCTAACTGGACAGGTTTTTAATCTGAACTCTTGCTACTTTGTTTGTGTCTACAGGTTAGTGCTAAATGTTACACTTCATTGTGTACATTAAGCTGTTTGTTTCCATTTCCATTCATCATTTCCATTCATCTTTGGTGCCCTGTCAGATTAAGAGGTACAATAAATCAATACAGAAAAAATACCATTTGTGTATAGTTCAATGTTTTCAGAACATATCCAGCTGAATTAGGCAGTTAGTTAAACATCTGAGTCCTGTACCAGCACTTGTGGAATGCCTCTTGTCCAATCACATTACTTTTTTATTACTTTATTTTATAGCATTATGATGCCCATTTACTTTCCATTTCATTACATGTTGCTATAGTGTAGCCTACTTTGTCTTTGTTTGACCTTAAGCATGCCAATACTTGTTGGAATTACATTCAACCACATGTCAGAGGTTGTTGTAACCAAAACAGGTTTTATGAATGCAGATTGTCAGTAGAGATAAATATGGGAGGTGAGCCCTCACATCTTCAGTAAAACGTGACTGACAACTTGCTCTAAACCAGGGGATTGCAAAAACAAATACCTTTGTGTTTGACTTTTGCAATTTACAGTCAGACAAGACAGTAGGATGTATGTGGTAGCTGTCAAGTCATCTTTGTTGTTTAATTATGTTAGTATTTTTAATTTTAAGATATATTCTTTGACCCCATAACACACACTTTTACTATCTTGATGCCCCTTAGGATATTTTTTTAGAGCTATAACTTTATTAGAACATTTTTTTCCTCCAGAATTTGAAATAGAAGGGTGTTGAGTTTGAAAATGTTTGACTAAACATGAGTTATGAATGAGCCACTGCTCTGTCAGAGGTTAAATAATAATACTTATTAATGTTTTGTAAATAATGTAGATGAGTTGAATGAGCCTGAGCAATGTTCACATGTCATAACTATCAAGCTGCAAACCATGCATGAGAAAATAAAAATCGTAGTTTCAGAACAGCTGCTCACTGTGTAAAACACTTCCATGTATGGTCACTAGATGTCCTCATAAAGTCACTAAATGTCTCCATCGGGAAACAGTGGTGTAGTTTAGTTCAGTCCACAGGATGGCAAAGCATTGTTATGAATGTGTAAAGGCCTCCTGCTCTAATTTGACACCTCCAAAAACAAACAAAATAACAGACTGAACCTCCCTTGTGTGTATGTTCTCAAGAGAAGAGGAGTGAGTGTGTTCAGGGTGCAGTTGGTTGTTGACCATTGTTGACTCGGGGTGGTTTCTGTCGGCCTCACATCTGTCCTCCTCCTCCTCCTCCATCATGTTGAGTCTGATTCAGCACTTTAACACCTACACACAGAACCAGGAATAGACTTAGGAGTCATAGTGAGACTGGAGGGAAGAGGAAAACAACTGCTGCATGCCGGAGACCACCTTGTCCCATCTCATCTCGTCTGGCTGTATACCAGTGTATGGTTTTAACTGGAGGGGGGCTTGGTTGCTTTGCTTTTGGCTGATTTGACTATGTCAGTCAATATTGTACACGCCTCATTGCACGTAGAGGTCTGAGGGGTGTAGCTGACATGGATCTTCAATCTAAACACATTGTTATCATTGCCCTACTCTCTTGTTTCATATCATGTTCACATCCAGTATGATTCCCAGGTGTCAGGTTAGTTCCATCTACACACACCCACACATGCACGCGCGCACTCACAAACACTCACACTCACTCACACACACACACACACACACCCACACACACACACACACCTGAGGCTAGCAGCAAGTATGCAATACACATACAAGTCCAAAATAGATATTTTGGTGAACTTGTGTTGGTTAAAGGGAAAAGGTGCCGTGACACTGGGATCTTTTTAAGGTGCACCTCTGTTTATTCAGAGAAAAAAACAGAGAAAAACAGAACTTCCATGCTGGTTCTATTGCCTGCTTCAGTGTGAGCATAAATAGTCATTTAAATGTAGCTTTAAGCTAGAACCAAACATTTTAAAATCTAAATATTGACAGGTCAAACAGACAGTTTAACATCGTGTGAATAAAAATATAGGCTAGACAAAAGGATTTCTAAGAATAAGACAAATTAAAAGTCGACCACCTCTCTCACAGGGGAATCCCACAAAAGGGCAACAGTGGCAAAATATGAAACATGGAATAAAAATTAACAGGTAGAGAAGTCAAGGCCCCAAGTTTATTTTACTGCCCTCCAGATGAAACAAAACAAATAGCCCAACCCAAATGCAAGTTAGCCTTACTAACCGTAACTTTAAGATAGCAACAATCAGGGGACATATCATGAAAAGTCCACTTTTACAGTGTTTTTGGACATATATTTGGGTAACCTGAGTGTCTACCGACCCACAAAATGTGAAATAATTCCATCCAGTCCTTTGTTTGTGGACTGCATAAGTCTTATAACACAGAGAAACTTGCTCCATTTCTAATCTACTGTCCTTATGATGTCACAGTGGGATTCTGGTAAAAAAAAAAAAAAAAAAAACCCTCCCCTCCCCAGGTATCTCCACCAATGGACACCACCCCAAGCCTAGAGCAAAACTTTTGCGCAGGTCCACCGTTTTTATTCTTGCTAGCGGAGGAGTGATGTCTACCAGGAAAACTCAGGGGGGCTCAATGCATTTAAAGAGATACACACACCAAAACGGAGCGTTCTGAGAGAGCTGGTTTATAAAGGGTCACAAGCCTGCTTGGTTCATGTTATATTTTGAACAAAGCACAGCACAGATGTTTCATTTAGACCACAGGGGACTGTTTGAAAAGGTGGAAAAGGGGTATAGTATGTCCTCTTTAAACAACTGTTTCCCCCCCACCAAAATTCGGCAAGGTCGGACAGACATAACTATATTGTGGGGGATACAAAATATTCACAACGAATATGATTTAAATGGAATTCATTAGGATAATAAATAAGCCAAAAAGTTAAAAACATACCTCGCCTTTTAGTGGGAGTCTTACAAAGGGGCGGGGCTTACGCCTAACATAGAAGAATAGATTAAGGAGGCGCTTTGAACTGCAACAGTAGGCTACTTCCAGAGCTGCAAAGAGTCCTTAAAAACCAAAAAAAATAAATGAAAAGGTTGATTTTGTGTAATTGTGTAACATGACAGTAAGATATGAAGGTCTGTGAGGTCATGTGTCCTGTACACAGACACTATTTATGGACACAGCTTCTACACAAACACACCTGCCTGAGGCATGTGTTGATGCATGGATTATCCTACACTTTACTAACCCTTACAATGTAATATGCTTCCCTACTGGCCCAGCGACTTTCTCTCTCGCCTCAGCTCACTCCGAGGCATGAGTCCACTTCTCATCACCCCCCCGACACACACACACACACACACACACACACACACCCCCACCCGCTGAGCAGTTGAGCGCCCCGCTCCGCTCATTTGGATTCAGTTTCAGGGAACCAGACGATGGGAAGCATGCTACTGACAGTGATCATCAGCGCTGCATGAGAGCACGTTATGCGCGCTCACAAGGCGTAAATGGCTGTGTTTTCATGGGAGAAGCTCAAATAAAAGAGGACAATTCGACAAAGCATGTAAATATCTGGTTGTCAAGAAGAAGAGACTGGATGCGCGCTGGATCCAGAACCAACGACAGGATGAACTGAGATTACGCGCGAGAGGTTGCCACGGGCAAGCGCTGGGTTTGACCTCTGTGAACAAATTTCTGGGACAAACATCTCGGTGAGGATGTCTCAATGAAGAATGTGACTGAATATGACTCTCTGCAAACGGGGTGGATGAAGCCCTCGGCGGTGTCATGCGTCTTGCCCCGCAGCCCAGCGCGCAACCCTTGCGGCTAATAGTTCTGATCCTCTTCCTCGCCACGCGCGCGAACACATCCCCGGTGCTGTCCACGGGCTGCCCGGACAGGTGCGTGTGTGATGACCAGCTGGTGGTTCAATGCGCCGGGCAGCACCTGACCACCTTCCCGGTCAACTTGCCGCTGGCCACGCGGCAGCTCATCATCTCCAACAACCGCATCGTGGAGCTACCGCCGCTCGCGCTCAACTACCTCTCTGATCTGGTGTACCTGGACTGCAGCAACAACTCCCTAACCGAGATATCCGAGTCCACGTTTGGGAATCTACGGAAGCTGGCCTACCTGGACCTCTCCTTCAACACCTTGACCCGGATCGAGGACAGGACGTTCGGGCCCTTGACGAGCCTGGTGATGCTGAGAATGACGGACAACCCGGGGCTCTCGGAGATTCATCCGGACGCCTTTGTAGAGAACACGGCCCTGCAGGTGCTGGATGTGGGTCGGAACAACCTGACAGTCCTCAACATCACCTCCCTAATCGCGCTGCCCGCCCTGCGCTCCGTAGGTCTCAGTGGGAACCCGTGGAGCTGCGAGTGCGACAACGAGGACCTGTGCCTGTGGGTCCACCTGGAGGGCTTCAAGTTCCAAGGTTTTAATCTCTTTTATTCTAATGTCATCCCAGCATGGCGTTTCTTAATGCTTTCATATCAAATTAAAGTAGGCTTCAGAGAGTTAATCACATAGAAGAACTGCTGGGCTCCAGTGATTAATCATTAGATAATGCTGGCTTATGTAAACTTTTGACCTTTTGCTAGCTGTATCTCACAAAGGACGATAGCCCCTCTTATAGAAGAAATATATCCCTGAGTGTTATTTCTTTATTTTGTGAGCCACTTTTATTATTGTTTTCTATGTTATACTCTTAAGGTGGAATGTAGAGTTCTGTTAAAATGTTTCTTCCCAGGCCTATTCTTTAGATATCATCAGAATTTCAAAATGCAAATAACTGACTGCTGACATGTTGCCAGTTTTGACTAACATAACACTCTGTACAGTTGTGGTTTGTGTTATCATTGATGATAATTTAACAGGAAACTTGTTGATTTTGGGGTACCACCACCTGGTTCCATATTTTAGGAAGTAATGTGTGTTGTTACTGATACTGGTGTCAGACCAACTCTAGTGGCTTGAACATTGTGTGCACAAGTCATACAGACATGAGTACAAAACAATCAAAGAAAATAAGGAGCTTAAGGAGCCAGGCCACTACTGCACCCAACACTTCCCCCCACAAAAAAATATCCTGTAATTTCCGCATGTTCACATGTAACACTGGTTGTAAGCTATGATAAAAAAAAAAATCTTCTTAGAAGGTAAAGTGAACATGCACCCTCTGCCTTCTGGATATAACCCCGTATATATCAAAAACAATATTATATTTATAGATTAGAGGCCGGTCAGCAGCTCTTTTATTGGCTTGTTATGTTTTCTCAGTAATATTCATATGAATTGATAATCTTGTGGTGGGACTTTTTTCCGATGCAGTTAAGCCAACCAAAACAACATAACGATTCCAGGGTTACCACATAACCACAGTTGTAATAAAAAAGAAAAGAAAGAAGTGTCCAGTTAAGTGTATCCTGGGGGTTTGTCGATGTGGAAATTGAGTTACTGTGTTTCCACTATGAGCTGCAAGTGCTCAATAATTGTAAACGTCTGAGGAATAGAGAAAGCAGAAAACTTAAACAGAGAACTATTGATGTAGATTGAAAGATGTATGAACTGTTTTCAATTTGTATTTAATAGTTTTTGAAACAGCTAATGAATCCTTTGCTTACAGTATATTTGATAATCAGCTGTGAGCTACACACAGCACTTATATTTGCACGTCTGGTTAGATGCTTTACTGCATTCTTCCGTGTCTCTGTACCCGTCTCTTTGCTATGCCAAAATGCTTTAATCTAATCTTTTCTAATTTGATTTAAAATGACAATCTGGGATTGCCATGTTGTAAAACTATTCTATACTCAGATCTGACTACCCTATAATAGTAAAAATATTAGTCAGACTCATTAAGCCCTGGCCGTCATTCTTTACGCTTGATGTGGAAAGTAATTGTCAAGTTATGATTGTTTTCTGATCAAACACTTCCTGAATAAAATATATAAGATTAAAACAAAAATATTAAAGGGTCTTGTGGATTGTAACACAGGGACCCCATCAAGACAAGGCCTAAATATGACATCATAAACCACCTCAAGGGTCTCATCACGCCACTTTATATTCATAACCATGCATTTTCCCTTATATATTTTCAATTAAATTAGCATGAACTAGTTAACACAGTACCACTGGAGCCCCCCGGGCTGTCTGCCTTTAAGGAAGGAATGACTCCGTGCTAACATCTTTGAAATTCCTGCACATCATGTTACTTAAAAACCTCGTCATGTCTGCACAGCTGATAATATCACGCCATCATCTCTAACTGGTCTATTATGTTACATGTCCCAGATATGGTGCGTGGTGCAAATTATGTTGCCATGTGTTTACCATCATGAGGTTCGGTGAAGTCTGCAAAAGTTCAGCCCCTCTCTCAGCTTTCAGCGTGATGACATGCAGGTGACAGCAGTGCAGCTTGACAGCACTCAGACTATCAAATAACAAGGAGGGTGAAAGAGGATCGGAGGCGAATAGGGGCTGTTTGATTTCTCTTCACACAAGTGTGTTCATTAATTTGGCACCGCAGTTTTTGGAGCAAAACTAGAGAGTCTTTTATCTTGGAGTGACCGATCATTTCCTTTTTAATCCAGCCTTTGGGATACCGCACTGCATTCGTGATTAATGGAGAATAGTTTCAGCATCAAATATTGATCCCTCTTTTTGTTTTGTTTCTGTCAGGCTGATGAATGTGTCTGATTTTCAACAATCTTTCTTACTTTGAGTTAATGTGCTCATGCTCCGGAGTGGATGTGTCACTATGCAAAAGGGCAGCTGCTATTTATAGTGAGTCTTACTGAGCAAGAAGCCAGTCATAACTCCAACACCATAGCATTAATACACCCGCCACACTTCCTGAAAAAGGCATCCCCTGCACCTCTCTCCCACACATACACATGCTATAGTAAACCATGGTCCCTGCGCAGCTTAGTCCAAATCCATAACAAGTCCTGCAAGAGCTGTCCTATCTTCCTGCTGCTTTGTCTAGTTTAATTTGGAGAGGAGCCTCTTGCAGTGACAGCTGCCAGCAAGGGAGAAAGCGGACACACTCCGATACAGTCACACTCTACCTCTGTTATGTGTACACACAGCCTGTCCATCTCTTACAAGCAGACAGCACAGGCACTCAGACTCAATTAACTCAATCGTTCTTCCACTGTCATCTAAAGCACAGCAAAAATGTATTATATTCACACTGTGAAAAGTCTGTTTAATGTCATCTTGCTGTGTTCAAGCAAAAAGTTGCAAATCACATAAATGTGGCAACCTCACACAATGTTGAAATTTCACGGACAGGGAAAATCCAATATATTAAGGTTCAACATCATATTTTATAACCAAATATCTACAGGTAGAAAACATCTAATGCTAGAGTCTGTTCACTTACTAGCTTACCTACGTGTTTGATAGTGTTAAGCGATACGATGGGAGCTTGAGGCATCTATTCCTTTATAAAGCGGACGTTAATAGTTGTTGCTTAGTGAACATATCAAAATGTTCTTAACCTTAAATGTGCAACTTTTAGAGTATATGTCCAGTAGATGTTGCACTTTAGCACCAGTCTCACACCAAAAACAAAAGTTTTCTTTGGCCATGCCTCCTCTGTCCCACATCTCAACACCTCCCCTCCTCCCCCTAGTAGTGGTTTAATGCTGTTAGTGTTTGCTAACGTGTATGTTGTTTTGACTTCTAATATGCATTAAGTCCATAGAGTACAGATTTGCATTCTCTATTGTCTCTTCAGTTGCTAATCCGTCCAGAAGCTTTGAAATGATACAATTATTTTGTCAGTCAGTACAACATTATATTTGCATTTCAGCTTCCCACATCGACTTGGTGAAAGGACTTGAGATTGTATAGAGGTTTTTTTAGTCTTCTGGCAACTCGAGCCGATTTTTGCACTGCAGGTCACACCTACCCGTTCACAGCCATTCACACTATGATGCTGACGCAGCATCTGGAGCAATTTGTTTCATGCCAAAGGACACATCGCCATATGGCTGCAGGTTGAGAGACAACCGACTATACCACTGAGCCACAGCCGCCCCATGAATATGTTTAATTGATACACTCACACATGCATACAAATGTATTTCTTTATTTATTCATTTATTTGATTTGCAAAGAGACTATGTACAATACTAAACATGTCATAAATTGATGATTTGTACCAGAGTTAGCTTGAAGCTAATTTTCATACAGTCCCTTGACAGGTCATAATTACGAATGCATCACAAGACACATACAGAATACAGAGTGACACAGCTGTACAAACACATGCACACACAACTGAAACAAGAATATGCTACTTTAAAAAAAGGTTTGTTGATGATTAAGGTGTTAACTCTTTTATCAGCAGTTTTTCAGTTTAACTTCAAAGCTGCAGCTTTTAATGTTGCACAGAAAGCTGTTTCACCACAGGCAGTTTGATGAAAGGATAAAGAACAATCTCCTCATGAAAATATTCTTGTGGACTCTTAAGCCTTCTCCAAGTAAAAGATAAGAATGTGACGTTATGGAGGTTGGGCAGAACTTTTTTAAATCTTGAAGGGATGAAATAAATACATAATGAATAAAAAAATGCAAAGCTCAAATGATGATGCTTATAGTTTCATACAGGGATGATTTTATTTAGATGTTAAGGCCAGAATGTTTATAGTTTGTGACACAAGGTCCCCTCAAGTTACTAAAAGAAGTAGGAAATAATAAAGGCATAAATACTGTGTTTGCATCCAAAGAAATACAATTTCTAATTTGTCTTTGTCTTGCTTGTATGTGGGTTTTATCATTTAATTTTTTACGTCTCTTACAATAAAGTTTTGGTAGGTATATGAAAGGGCTGTGTAATCAATCAAGTGCAATTTCAATGTTTGTCGCAATATGAGAATTTGCAATAAACACATTGCAGAAGTTTGAATTATGGCAATTAATAACAAAAATGATTTTATGTTAACAAGCAATGCTTTCTTGCTCAGCATTTGATCTATCGGATGGAGGTGGGTATAATGCTGCATTCATGTGCTGCTCGGGTGGTCCATGTTTTCAAGTTGGGAAGTCGTTCTTCTGACTTCAGTGTGTTCACGTGCTCTCAGTTCAGAAAGTCTGAATGTAGCAAAATAGCAAAAAAAAACAGCGTTGATGCCGCGAAGAAGATCTGTGGAAATTAACTGTTAAAAGTTATATCTGAGCAAAAAGTTGATGTGCAATATGTGAATTAATAAAAAGTATCTTAACATTAACAAAACATATTTTGCCCCTCATGTGACGACGATTCTGACGTCAATTCGGGAAGTCGGGCACCTAATTATTTTCCAAGTTTCCAATGCTTTTTGGTTTTATTTTGGATTCAGAGTTGAAACTGAGTTGTATCTAATATGCACTCTTTCATTTTTGTTTTTTGATTTCAGATTATCAATATCGCAATACATTAAT